GTCTTGTGGACATCATCCTCGTGGATGCGGATCTGATGGTAGCCTGAGCGGAGGTCTATCTTGCTAAAGACCTTTGCTCCACTCAGACGATCCATCAACTCGTCGATCCTGGGCAACGGGTAGGTGTTCTTGATGGTCTGTTTGTTTAGTGCGCGATAGTCGACGCACATCCTGAGATCACCTTCTTTCTTCTTGACAAAGAGCACTGGTGCACCATACGGTGACTGGCTCGGGCGGATGAACCCATGGGCGAGGAGGTCATCCAACTGGCGCTTGAGTTCGTCCATCTCCGTCAGCGACAGTTGGTACGTCGGTCTTGACGGAGGCGACGAGCCTGGTTCGATGTCGATGCGATGATCGACGGTGCGTTGGGGTGGCAGGCATTGTGGCAACTGGTCGGGGAATACGTCCTTGTACTCGTCGAGCAGCTTGGTCACCACAGGCGGGGGACCGGGACCGGCTTGGTCGGTGTCGTCGACCTCACGCACGACACAGAGGAACGACGTGTCCTTCTTGATCAGCCTCTTGAATTGCATGGCTGAGAGGAGAGGTGGCATGTTGGGTGAGGCCATGCCCTGCAGGACAATGTCAGGGCCAACACGGACAGTGCGGCCTTTCCAGTCGACGACTGGAGTCGGCTCGGCACGAGCAAGCCAGCTCATGCCGAGGATGGCATCGAACTTGGTGTCGATCACTTGGAACAACAGGACAGGATGGTACTTGGGATGGAGGGCCACTCGCAGGACCACTTGGTGTGTGCACTGCTGCACACGATCGTCTGCAAGCGCCACACTCATCGGCGACTTCTTCTTGGTTGCATGTATGTTGAGCTCCTGGAGCAAGCGTCTGCTGACAAAGTTGCAGCTTGCTCCAGAGTCCACCATCATTCGGACGGTGTGACCTTGGACGGTGGCAGGGAGGTACAGCAGGGACTCTTCATGGTCCTCCTGCACAGCCTCCTGCACCATGACTTGACTTGGGGGAACGGGCGACACTTGGTCTTGGTTGGCTTCATCACGGCCACTCGGACATTTTGGATAGGGTTCGGCCATTGCGGGGGCCTGCGGCGTCAGCACGCCATTGCACACGACGTCCACGGCTTGCGGACACATGTCGGAAGCATCCGACACACACGACTTGACAGGGGTGAGGGCACAGGCGGTCCTGTCCCTCAAGGGTTCTTGATTTTCTTTTTTGTTTTGGTTTTCAATTTTGGTTTTCTCTTCACGTTCGTGGAGAGGCAGGCGGCTTGCGCCACCATGCACCTCTCGCACGACGCACAACACTTGGTTTGTTTCTCCTTCGGGGGAGGGGGCGAGGTGAACTTCCTCTGGAGACGCGTGGACTGCATTGAGCAATCCACGGCGTTGGTCTCCTACTAGGGCTCCAGAGCCACCTAGTAGGGTCGGCCGTTTCCCGACTTCATGGGGCACTCCTTGGCCTGGTGTCCCGGTCGGTGACAGAAGAAGCAGGAACCATGGCGGAGGTCCTCCTGCTTCTGTCTGTCCTTGGGGGAGACAGTGGCAGCTTGCTGGAACCGGGAGCGGGGAGGGCCACGAGCCTCCATGGCGTTGACGTCAACGTCCATGGGCTCAGGCATGGGTCTTGCGGGCGGGGCCGGGCGAGGCGGACGGGCTGGGACGTGATGAGACCGATGGCCGCCTGCCAGCTGCGGGTAGAACTGGCGGCCATGGTACTGGACGTTGTCGAGGTTCTCGGCAACGTCCATCATCACGTCCAGGGACTTGCGGGCATCAGGGTTGCTGGCGATGTACTCTCTGATCTTGGGCTTGAGGCCCTTCTGGAAGAGGTACATCGCATCAGCAGAGCCCAGCTCCTCAATCTGGGAGGAGAGGTCTTCAAACTCCTCGATGTAGCGGGTCACAGAACCACGCTGCACGAGAGAGTATAGCTTGTCACGGGCAATGAGTTCAGCATTGGGGCTGCCGAAGCGGCGACGGAGGCGGTCCTTGAAGTCGTCAAACACACCTTCGCTCTGCTCGTCGAACCCTTGGCGGCGGTACCAACGGTACGCCTGGTCCTTTAAGCAGAGCTTGGCGGCGACGATGTGGTGGGTGGGGGCGACTTGGGCAGCATCGAGGTAGTCCTCGAGTTGCTGCAGCCAGTCCTCCACCGAGGAGGAGCGGCTCTTCCCAGTAAACACTGGGGCACGGAAGGTCTTGAGGAAGGCTTCCGGAAGTGGGCGGGGGTTGCTCATGGCAGGGGCAGGCTCCAGGGACAGAGAGGAGAGTCGGTCGGCAAGAGAGGCGGGATCCAGCTTGAGGATCTAGAAAGAGGACAAACAGGACGAAAACAAGACGAGGATTTCCGATGCTACCATGTAACGTCCACTACTGGGACGTTGGGGCAAGACGGGGAGGGAGGGGGTACAAGACAAGACAGGACGGGGCAGAACAGGGCGGTGCTAGGCTACTCTAGCGGACGGGTGAGCTCGGGGAGCACTTACGTTTATTCACGATAAAACCGAACTCCAGACAAACGGGGGGAACGGGGGCAACCCGCAGGTATACCCTGCGGTGGCCTGCCTGCGGTGCGTGAAAACGCAAAGCGCAGCACAGGTCACGACCCACTGCGCCGCGCAGTACGCGCAGTACGCGCAGCACAGCGTCGGAGATACCATCTCCTAGGCCTCATCTGTCCGGCTGGCCGCACCCAGGCCATGCTGGATATCTGCGAACGCCACAGCATCGACAACCGGTACCGCTTCTCGCCTCCCAAGTGCGAGGTGCTGTACTCGGCCTGCAACGTCGACCAGCTCCATCCCGCCAAGCTGTACGGCACCGAGCTGCCCAAGGTCCTCCAGTTCCGCTACCTCGGTGTCATGGTCGACATTGACGGATTCCGCCCGGACCTCCAGTTCGACAAGCTCCTCCGCAAGGTCCACATGGTCACCGACACCGTGGTTGGACTCGGCATCACCCTCGGCAAGGTCTCGGCCAAGACCATCACCCAGGTCTACAAGACCTTTGTGCGGCCGACCCTCGAATACGGGATGGCCATGGACATCCCCGACCCAGCTCTGCGCGACCGCCTCGACGACGCCCAGATGACGGCCCTCCGCACCATGTTCCGCGTCGGCCCCGGCACTCCCGTCGGTGCCATGCACCTCAACTGCGGCCTTCCCAAGATGTCGGTCCGTGTCAAGATGCTGGCCCTGCAGAACTGGGCCCGCTGGGACGACCAAGTCTCTGACGGCGACAAGATGCTGTCGATGATCCTGCGCAACAAGATCATTGCGCCCTACCACCCCGACCAGTTCCTCGGCCAAGGAGTCCGAGCCGATCCGCACTGGGCCATGGTGGTCCGCCGACAAGAGGCCGACCACTCCCTCACGGCCACGGAGATCTACCGAGGCAAGACCCGACACCAGCCGCCGCCGCCCGGACCGCCCCGACCCCAGCCCGTCCCGATCAAGACCCTCATCTTCGAGGACCACATGAAGAACGGCTTCGACCGCTCCAAGCAGCTCACCGCCGCCTGCACCCCGTCGACCAAGATGTCGGGACTCTGGGAGGCTCGCGGGTACCAAGGATCCATGATCATGCTCATGTTCATGGTCCGATGGCGACTCGGTGCTCTCCCAGGCCACTTCAGATTTGGCTACCGCAAGTGCAAGAACCTGGCTCGACACGGATCCGGGATCGACTTGACCAGGACCCACGCACAGCAGTGTGTGGATCCGCATCAAGTCCTGGTCCGCAAGGTCGCAGCCCTCAAGACGGCCCACCCGACTTGGGTGGAAAGTGGTATAGCCGGAGTGGGACCAGTGGACAAGCTGCTGGACCTGCTCAGTTTCGATCGCACTCCCCCTCGCAGTCGCACCCCTCCCGCACTTGGATCACTTGCTGCTCATGTACCCGCTCCCCGCACTGCCTTCCGAGCATTCGCACTTGGTGCACACCCAGCACCACCACCCACTCCCACACCCAGTGTAGTCCCACCCTTGCAGTCTCTCCCTGCACCCTCATCACAGCGTAGTATAGTGTCAGCACTTGTCATTCCTCCACCCCGACCCCCCCTCGATCCTGCTGTTCCCTTGTGGGAACTGCTTGAAAATGTGTTCACCCACTTGGTCTCAGACCTTGTGGGCAGCTGAGGCAGCACTAGGCTGCAACAGGAGTAAATAGGCTTGCCTGTGTACTCAACGTGCCGGGGTACCAACCTGTTGGACCTGATGGCTTGTCTTCTTGAATAAAGTTGACTATAGTAACAAAAAAAAAAAAGGTGGGGACTTAGTACCTCACTCCGACCAGAGTGTGGACTTAGTGCCCCACCACCCCGAACCGAGCTCAGACCTTGCCTCGGGGTCGAACTGGGGAGGAACCTCAGAGTCTGGCTCAGAGTCTGGCTCAGAGTACTCCCCTGATGGCAACCAAGACTCCCTCCCGAACCGAGACCGAAACCGGGCCAGGGAGACGAATAGAAACATAGTCTCTGGCCTCGAAACCATAGAGGTTCCCACGCCCTCCCAAGGACGAAGTACTGACCCGATCCCAGAGTCCGACGATGACTTGGGACTGGGTCAGACCCCAGGATACGAGATAAATCCCGAGTACCCCTCCCACAGACAAACTCACACTCCTTTGAGGGCAAGTCCAGACCCAACACCGCACAGCAAACCCTGGAGTGGGTTCGAGTTGATACTAGAGAGGGACTTGGAGAAACCAGCCCCTGACATCCCGGAGCGGGACTTGGAGACATGCGACTCCCTCTGGGAGTTATTAGAGGGAGTGTTCACCCGCATGGCTCGCCGTGTGGGCTGGAGAGTCGGCGAAGGCCGCAACAGGGGTGTATGAGCGAGCTTGGCCACCCACTGCCGGGTATCCTAGGATACTGATGGCATGTTGAATATTCTTGAATATACAACTATCAAAACAAAAACAAAAAAAAAAAAACGACTATCGATTGTGAATGTCGAGTTGTCGTTGTCGAGTCATGGGATGGTTCTGTCGGTTGATCAACATCAGCAATTGTTATGGGACAGCACTATTGTATATTGTATGTATTGAATGTATCGAATATCAAATACAACATCACTCGGCCATTGCTGCTTCATCAAGTACACCTAACCTAATCCACACTTTGGAATCATGGTGTCTGATGGGTGACGGCGGTGCAATTTGGTTGAATGTTGGATGTGGTAGCTTATTACTTTGGGAGTGGAACTCAAGGGATCAGGGTCACTTGCCGAGTTGTTTGAGCCAGAAGATGGCATCTTCGTGGCCCTGGTCAGCGGATTTGCGGTACCAGAAGACGGCGATGTCGATGTCCTTGAGGACACCCCAGCCCCATTGGTAGCAGTTGCCGAGCCGATCTTGTCCATATCGATTCCCTTGCTCGGCTGACTTGCGATACCACTCGACCGACTTGGTCCAGTCCTCGGTGACTCCCCCTCCATAGCAGTAGCACTCTCCAATCCACAACTGGCTATCGCTGTGGCCTTCGTTGGCGAGTTGCTCAAAGATGCCCGCTGCCTTCTTCCGGTCTTGCATTATTCCGAATCCTCGGACCAGACACAAAGCCATCAAGTGTTTGCACAACCAGTTTTGGTCCGATCCGAGCTGGCAGAGTTTGAAGAACATGCAGGATGTGGGTGAATCGGATTTGCATTCGTCTGCCAACCACGCCAGACACTCGTGCTCTCCAAGCTTGAACTCATCCGATTTGTTATCTCGAATGATCTTGATGCCCTTCTGTTGGTTTTGTTGTGTGCCCCGGCCGAGGTAGTGCATCCACCCAACCATGTGGGTAGCGATGGACTTGATAATCGGATCGGTGGACAGGTTGCTGACTTCATGCCAGTGGTTGAAGGCATCAGCGTCGCTCTGTTCGACACCAAGGCCGATGAACGAGAACCATCCACGGAGGAACACGATATGGAGTCGGCCATCGTCACTGCCTTGATCTGCAGCCTTAGAGTACCACTCGATTGCGTTGTTATAATCTTGATCGACACCTTCGCCTGACTCGTAGTATCGACCGAGTGCAACTTGGGCTTGTGCCATTCCACATTCTGCAAGACTGCGAAACATATCGACAGCTTTGGTGTGGTCTTGGTCGACTCCAAGACCGTTGCGATAGCATCCAGCCAAGTGGAACTGTGACATTGTGTGGCTTGTGTTGGCGGCGATCTCCAAATGGCGGAAGATTCGCTGGCGGATAGCTTGCTTCTTGGATTTCTCCAAAGACTGCCGGCCGGAGAGATCAACCTGCAGTATTCTTGCCAGGAAGTATGATGCGGCAACATTGCCGTTATCGACTAGATATTCAAGCCAGGATCGGCTAGTTTTGACTGGATCCTCGCAGTGTATGGAGAGTACAATCTCGTCGCTCGGTGTGAGTTCGACCCGCATCTGTCCGTCTGGATGACACAGCCCTTCCTTCCGACACCAGCCGTGGAAGAGAGGCAGCTTGGAGCTCAGGAGGGGTCGGGCACGCCGGCACACTCGGAGCAGGGTCTTGATGGTGCTGTGATCGAGGGAGAGCTGGAAGCTGTCGTTGCAGCAGATGATGGTGAAGATGTCTGGGTTGTGTTCGAGGGAGAGTTGGGTGATATTTGGCATCGACGAAGCTGTGCTGTCTTCAGCTTGGTTTTGGTGAGCGGCAGATGATGCTGTGGTTGAGGCAGACTCGTTCATGCTGGCCATGTTGATGGAGACAGGAGGGAGGCAAGTGGGTGACGGCGATGGACAGATGAAAGAGAGACAGATTGTGGCAAAGCAAGCCAAACGCTGGCAAGCCAAATACTGGCCATTGCGCACACACACACAAGCCTGGCTCGATCCGTTGGTTTGCTGGCTGGAGTCGTTGTTCCTCTTGCACTGCCACATGCACTGCCGCATCCATCGATCATGGAATCGATCATGGAATCGAACATCATGTCGAGTCCTGCATTCTCGCCAAGGCAAGATGTAACAGCCATTCCATCCAATTCCACATCGACTGCAACACTATGGCTCCAACTTGCTGCACCGAGTACCATCAAGCAGGACCTGAGAGTGTCCAAGGTTACCATTGCAGCGATTGTGAACGGGTGATACATTCGGTCCATCAAGAAACGTGGCAGTCACTTTCTGGCATCGGCGAACAAGTCCGCTGATCCATGTGCTCCAGCGAGCAAGCCGTGCGATAGTTTCCCGTCCTGTTTGGCAATCTCAGTGTGGTGCATTCACTCGACCCTCTGGGCAGTTCCATACTAAATCGATAGCATGATACTCGGCCTTCTCGAGTCGCTTGGCTTCCCGGCAATGTGAGCACACCGGGAGATCGAGTCGCTTGAATCGCCGTCGCAGGATCAGGCTGAAGTACAGCTGTTTGTCCAGTACTCATCCATTACTGCAGACCAAGGACATTGTGGGTGCTCTGGATCCACTTGGTCGCCTGGGTGGCGTCTTTCGCTTGCGGTGAACCATCCGAGCGAGACAGCATCCTTGATCCAGACCCAGAAACGCACCACTGAATGGTCACGACCAACGCGATGTTTTGAGGTAACAACGTATCTGTTCGACGACCAAAATCCGAGGTGTCCTGTGTTTTATTGAATTGGGGGTAGTTGTGCTGCCCGCAGTCTGCCTGCGGGTCCTCTGGATGGGGCATTTGGCTCAATCAGAGACTTGCTTGCAACTCATTCCCTTCAAATGCAGCATCCAAGTCCCATGTCTGCGGAATCGCCATGACCCAGCGGGCTCGTACAAAACAGACATTAAAACCACACCATTCTGTATTGTGTGGCTTGCCTTGAACCCAGTGGCGACATCAAGGGTGAGGGACGCATCCAAAGACAAATGCACCACACGACTAACTGCAAGATTCCCACATATGCCCGGCTCCTTCATGGATTACTGCTGTCCCGGTGGAAGCCGGCAAGCTGGCAAACGGAGATCCCATCGTGGAACATGCCACGATCAACCTGTGGAGCTGATCTGGCATTGCTCATTCGCGCCTTGTAAAGTCTCCACGAACGACAAGTTTGATTCAGCGAGTCTGCGTTTGACCTCTGAGCAACCCAATCCAAACGATCGAGCTGGATGACGGAAATCAGATGATGGCCGGTGCCACCGTAATGCGAATACACAGCAGTGAAAGCAGCACAAGCTGAAGTGGAAACCTCATTTTACCCTGCACGAGTTTCCAACATCGCTGTTGAGTGGTCGGCTGCAACCCATGCTTGTCGACAGGAAGTATCAACCAAGGGCTCTCCAGACATCCCCAACAATAACATCCCAACACCAACATCCAAGCCTGCTGCGCACGCTGTCGTCTCAAAACCCGCTTCTGCTCCGCCGTTCTTGCTCTGCTGCCGTCGTCCATGCCTCCTCTGCGCAAGAACTTCCCCGCCTCCACAGACTACGTCGACAGGAAGCATGGCCCGCCGCCGAGCCCCGAGGAGCTCGATGCCCTCTGCGCCCGCGCCGACGAGCTGATCGCCAACCTCGACCTCGAGAAGGGCTATGCCGCCTTCAAGGTGGCTGCCTCCTGGAGCCATCCCCAGGGGCTGATGGGCTTGGGCCTCTGCTACCGGTTCGGCTTTGCTGTCGCCGTCGATCTGAAGCAAGCGTTCGAGCTCTTCTGGGACGCATCCAGAAAGGCGCACCCGCAGGCCATCTTCATGGTCGGCCACTGCTGCGAGGAGGGCATCGGCGTGGACCGCAACCTCGAGGCCGCCCTCCAGCACTATGTCGTCTCGGCGACCTTTGGCCACCTGGAAGGCATGCTCAAGGCTGCCGAGATGCACGAGGCCGGGCTCGGATGTGCCCACAACGAGGAGCGGGCGCTCTTCTTCTACAAGATGGCCGCCGAGGCCGACCACGTCCCGTCGATCCTGCGGGTCGCCCGAGCATTCGACTATGGATTCATCTATCCCCAGCGACCCAGGGAGGCTTTTGCCTGGTATCTTCGGGCCGCCCGCCAGCACAGCGCCGAAGCCCAGATCCAGGTTGCATGCTGCTACTACACCGGCAACGGCGTGCCCAAAGACCTCAACCGATGCATCGAGTGGCTGAAGCATGCCAACAGCCACGGATGCAGCTATGCGAGGAAGAACCTGGAGCTCCTGATGCACGAGGTCCAAGGCAAGCAGACTCTGGAGCCGCCTCCGAGCCACCTCACCGACAGCAGCAACCACACAGCGCCGGAATAGCAACTTCAGCTTCGGCTTAGCGAAACAAACTGCTCTTTGGACGACCAGACTGCCACCAGTGCCACCCACTGCCAGCTGAAACCACCTGCTGGTCCATCAGCGCATCGAATGCTTGTATCGAATGCCTCCATCAATGCTTGCATTGATTGCACACTGCAAGTCTCGCAGCGACCGTCCGAGCAGATGTCTTCTTCTCCAACGTTCACCCTCCGGAGCTGTGCGATCGATTGGTGCAGTTGAGACGGCTGTCCCGGCCTCGAAGAGGCATAATGTCGCATCCATGAGTGGCCGTCCCTCCCGGCATCATGGTTGAATACACTGGCTGTGTCGTCCATGCGGCAGTCTGGACAAGCAAACGATACCTGGTGCATCTGGGCGAGCAACAGGAGTCATGGATCGGATCGGATGTGAGCAGCCGGGGGCTCATGGTGGTGCGCTGTCTCGGCTGCCTCTTGGCCCTCATTGTTGGTCTGCAGCATTATTCCTCCTTCAACCTCGCTTGTTCTGGACCTCGGACACTATTGAAGACTCATCCTGCCAGCGACGAGATCAGCAATAGACACAACCGAATGATGCATGGATTTGGGGCTATCTTCGATGCCTCGCAATGTCTACAAAGCACGATCAAAATTGGATCAGTATCATGCCGCTGATGCAAATGCTTGAGATTGTGACGATGATCCTTTCGCCATCTCTTTGGAGTTAGAGCAAAAAACACGAATCGAGGCTTCGGAGACAGACCTTGGTTGGTATTTTGAACGGTTCTCTCCAGCTTGGAATAGTGGTGCGCTGTGGGAAAGGAAAACGCCCACGCCGAGTTGATGAAAACGCAGCACGAACGGGTTTTACTCATGGCCTCACCGGTGATGGAGATTGCTCCATGTACCCAGGCAGAACACCGCTGGAGCGACATGAGTATCAAGCGTGTAGCCATGGGGAGTGATGAAGTGAATCTTGGTGGATCGATAATACCAAATAGAGTAGCCTCATATCTCAAAGTGGTGTTTGATTCCTTCACTTTGTGACTCGGTGCGGGCCGGCAATTGACCAACTGGCAACGTATGACCATCAGACGGGTTCTGATGACAAGGTCATTTTTCAAACAAATTTATTCAAACTTCTGTATAAAAACACTAATTTGATCTCAGAACACAGGTGTTCCCCGTTTGCATACTCAAGAACTGTCTAGAAACTGAAAAATCTAACGAGCATTCGGAGTAGGAACAATGACTGGAATTGAGGCGGTCAAGATGGCGGCGCCGTTGGCTGCAACAAGAGACGCAGCCGTTGGCGCGATTGTCTCGGTAAGAGTCTCGGTGAAGGTGGCAGTGAATGTCGCGGTAATGATACCCGCAGTGATTGTGTCGGTAACTGTGGCGGTGGGAACAGCCGTGGAAGAAGTGATGGTTGTGGGTTTGATCGAGGTGGAAGATGCTGAGGAAGTGTGAGTTGAGGAAAATGTGGTGGATGGGAACGTGGGGAATGCAGTTGTGGTCGAAGTGTGGGAAGTGCTAGCGCTGGTGATGGTACTGGGCTTGGCGGTGTTGGAGGCAGTCGACGAGGAGTGGGAGGTGCTGGCGCTAGTGATGGTGCTGGGCTTGGCGGTGTTGGAGGCAGTCGACGAGGAGTGGGAGGTGCTGGCGCTGGTGATGGTACTGGGCTTGGCGGTGTTGGAGGCAGTCGACGAGGAGTGGAAGGTGCTGGCGCTGGTGATGGTGCTGGGCTTGGCGGTGTTAGAGGCAGTCGACGAGGAGTGAGAGCTGCTAGCGCTGGTGATGGTACTGGGCTTGGCGGTGTTGGAGGCAGTCGACGAGGAGTGGAAGGTGCTGGCGCTGGTGATGGTGCTGGGCTTGGCGGTGTTAGAGGCAGTCGACGAGGAGTGAGAGCTGCTAGCGCTGGTGATGGTACTGGGCTTGGCGGTGTTGGAGGCAGTCGACGAGGAGTGGGAGGTGCTGGCGCTGGTGATGGTACTGGGCTTGGCGGTGTTGGAGGCAGTCGACGAGGAGTGGGAGGTGCTGGCGCTGGTGATGGTACTGGGCTTGGCGGTGTTGGAGGCAGTCGACGAGGAGTGGAAGGTGCTGGCGCTGGTGATGGTGCTGGGCTTGGCGGTGTTAGAGGCAGTCGACGAGGAGTGAGAGCTGCTAGCGCTGGTGATGGTACTGGGCTTGGCGGTGTTGGAGGCAGTCGACGAGGAGTGGGAGGTGCTGGCGCTGGTGATGGTACTGGGCTTGGCGGTGTTGGAGGCAGTCGACGAGGAGTGGGAGGTGCTGGCGCTGGTGATGGTACTGGGCTTGGCGGTGTTAGAGGCAGTCGACGAGGAGTGAGAGCTGCTGGCGCTGGTGATGGTACTGGGCTTGGCGGTGTTGGAGGCAGTCGACGAGGAGTGGGAGGTGCTGGCGCTGGTGATGGTACTGGGCTTGGCGGTGTTAGAGGCAGTCGACGAGGAGTGAGAGCTGCTGGCGCTGGTGATGGTACTGGGCTTGGCGGTGTTGGAGGCAGTCGACGAGGAGTGGGAGCTGCTGGCGCTAGTGATGGTGCTGGGCTTGATGGTGTTGGAGGCAGTCGACGAGGAGTGAGAGCTGCTGGCGCTAGTGATGGTGCTGGGCTTGGCGGTGTTAGAGGCAGTCGACGAGGAGTGAGAGCTGCTGCTAGCGGTAGAAGCATGCGAAGTGCTGGAGCTGGAACTTGACTTGACAGTGGAAGCCGAAGCGGAGGTGTGAGTAATAGCGGTTGAAGTGTGGGGAGTGCTGGAAGCGGAGCTGGGTTTGACCGTGGCAGTGGAAGTGTGAGATGTACTGGCGGAGGGAGTGTGGGAGATGCTCACGATCGAGCTGGAAAGAGTGGCGGTCGACGAGTTACGCGAAGTGATAGTTGAGAAAACCGACTGGGTGGATGAAGGGGTGATACTGAAACTGGTAGTATGAGTAGAGAAGACACTGGAAAGTGTAGGGAAAGCGGTAGTGATGGGAAGAGTAGTAGAGGGATTGGTTTGGGAAGTAGTTGACGAAGCGATGGCCGAGGAAGTAACGACGGTGGAAGGAATAAAGGTGGACGAAGCGATGGCCGAGGAAGGAACAAAGGTGGAAGGAACAAAGGTGGAGGAAGGAATGGTGGAGGAAGGAATGGTGGAAGGAGCAGAGGTGGATGACGCGATGGCTGAGGAAGTAACGACGGTGGACGAAGGAACGATGGAAGGAGCAAAAGTGGAAGAAGGAACGATGGAAGGAGCCCCGGTCGCACTTGTAGTGAAGGCTGATGACACAACTTCGGTGGTGGAAGTGGTGGGAATAGCTTCGGTGGTAGTGTTGACCGAGATAGAAGTGGTGGAAACGGGAAGAGTAGTACTGGTGGTCGCAGACTCGGTGGTAGTAGTGGTGGTGGCAATGGGCTCGGTGGTGGTGGTGGTAGTGGTGGTAGGCTCGGTGGTGGTGGTGGTGGTGGTAGTAGTGGTGGTGGTGGTAGGCTCGGTGGTGGTGGTGGTGGTGGCAATGGGCTCGGTGGTGGTGGTGGTAGTGGTAGTAGTGGCAATGGGCTCAGTGGTGGTGGTGGTGGTGGTGGTGGTGGTAGGCTCGGTGGCAGTAGTGGTGATGGTGGTGGTAGGCTCGGTGGCAGTAGTGGTGATGGTGGTGGTGGCAATGGGCTCGGTGGTGGTGGTGGTAGTGGTAGTAGTGGCAATGGGCTCAGTGGTGGTGGTAGTGGTGGTAGGCTCGGTGGTGGTGGTGGTAGTGGTGGTGGTGGTGGTAGGCTCGGTGGTAGTAGTGGTGGTGGTGGTAGGCTCGGTGGCAGTAGTGGTGATGGTGGTGGTGGCAATGGGCTCGGTGGTGGTGGTGGTGGTTGCTGTAGTTGTTGCCGTTGTATCCGCCAATGGGGCGAAACATCCATTCTCACCATTGGACCATAGCTTCTGAACAACATAGACACTTCCGTCGGTTCCCGTTACAGAACCCTGAATGTGATTGCACAGATCGCCAATCTCATTTCCCTGTCCATCAGTCCAAGAAGTCAAGGTCGGATCAGTAATGACGTCAGCGAGCTCAGCAGAGGCTACGGCCTGCAAGTTGTTCAGTTCCAAGGCATCGGCTCCACATCCAGTGGCGCAGCCGCTTGTACTGAGATCCGGAATGGCTCCGTAGTACAAGAATTGGGTTTGGGTGCCGGAAATGCTGCTGATGTCGACATAGCCGTGAAAGGCGCAGAAATCAATGCAAGATGTCTTTCCGCCGGTAGTGAGCGTATATCCGCTTGCAAAGTGGATGGGATAATAGCTGTTGGTTGTCGGTGCGATGGTTCCAGTGCTCACGAGGCTCAGCAGCCACGTCTGATTGATAGCCAAATAGACCTATGTGTCAGCAAAACTGCGTTCTGCGATTGTACCTATTGGCACTCCGATCATGGTTGCTTCACCGAACCATGGCTTGGTGTTGGAACTTCACCATGACGTTAGCGTATTCACTGTACCTCGATGTCGCTCTTGTCGGAAGTGGCGGCGAGACTGCCACTCAAGCTGACGGAAGCGGTGAAACTGCCGGCACCGATAGCCGAGCCTTGAGGGCTATATTCGGCCACTGGCTCGGTTCACGGTTTGATTCATATATTCGAAGGCGGTGTTAGATTCCCGGGCATGCTCTCTGTTGCTGTCGGCACCAATGAGATTGTGGGATGTTCAGGGTAGCTTGCTCCAGCAGCAAAACGGCGAGCAGTACTTACGGCCAGAGACATAGGACGAGCCGGCAATGGCGCCGTAGAATGTGTCAAGTTGGCTCTGGTAGCTAACACTTCCGCCATAGTAAATTGGGCTGATATTGACACTGGAAAGGACGGGGCCGCTGCCAAAGACGAGATTGGCAGTGGTGGGAATGCTAGGTGTGTCGTTGATGACTTGGATGCTGCTCGCGGTGGCTGGGACTTGTCGAGTGAACAGCCGGACGACGGGAGCTGCCGCGGCGGTGCCGGCGAGAACAAGGGCAAGGAAAGATGATTTAGAGAATGTCATGTTGGCGGACAATCCGAGCAGGGATATGGGGAGACGGAGACAGCAGTTGGGGTTTACGGTGCTGCCGAGAAGCGTCGTCTGCGAGAAAGAGGTGAAACAGCGGCAGCGGGCAGGATATATACGTTCGGAGCAAAGGCCAGCAAGACCAGGACCAAGCTGCAAGCTGAAACAGGAATTGCGGAACGCCGGTGCGGTGCGGCCAACGACTGGCTGGAAACACAAACGTGCGCAAGCGGAGTGTTTCTTTGCAACAAGCTTGGTGGCGTAGCACATGTTGCAGAGGAAGGCAGCAAGGGGCGGCCGGGGCGGTGGAGCACAACGGGGCGATTGCGACAGGCCATGCGGCGAGCGTGCACGAGCGCCAGCACGTCACATCATTGGTGATGCTTGCATGGCTTGGCGGCGGCCAAAGGCCGCTCTGGCTCTGTACCTTGGCACCACGACGGCACGTTCGTCGAGTGGGCAACGTGGCACGGAACGTTTCGCGCGCACCAACCAAGACAAAGGGCGCTCCACCGGCAGAGCCCGAGCCAGAATGCCAGCCCGAACGTGCCTGGTGCCTCGAACTGCCAATATATTGGTCAATCGAAGTGCACTGCTTGGTACGACGCCGACTCGACCAGGCCTGCGGCAAGTCCATCTCCCTTTGTGCAGGCCCCGCATCGCTGTCGCCACCCCAGGCCCCCTCCCGTCATTGCTGGCGGACGCATCCTCGTCCCCCGCCCTCCAACTTGGGCGCTCCTGGGTCGCGGAGGTGGCAAATTTGCTCCGTGTCTGAGCCAGACGGGAGGTGCTCGCATCGGGGGGGGGGAGGGATCATCCCCGATATGTCGGAAACAGATTCCTGATGGCAACAGCAGCAGAGCGGAAAGGGATTGTCAAAGACGGCGGCGCCGAGATACGACTTCACAAGTTGCGAATGCATCACCCATCCAGACTCCTCTAGGCCTCGGATCATGCATTTGACTGCCACAGCGCGATACAAGTGCACTTTGTTATAAAGCATCAATATATTGTGGGCTCTCGGTCAAATATCAGCAGTTACGAATCAAATCGTCCTCCATCAAAGTGACAGCTGAGGCAATTGGCCAGAAAAGCGAACAAGTTGCAAAATTTAATGATGGAGCATTAACAAAGGGCAGGGGAGAGTGAGCTAGTCGATCGGGGTTCCCCCACGAGCACTAAAATCCATATCGAAGCCAGGGAAGAGTGAAAGGAGCTTAGAGAACATATTCTGTGATGCAAATCGAAACGCTTCCAAGACAGAAAGACTGAAGGACTGAAGATCGCAGTGGGTTGAACTGATTCGACTTTATAATCGAGGTCGGCGAGTCGGACTGGCGCGCCATGGATGGTGGGGACACTTAAGGGCCAGGAGCGCCGGCGGTGGTGGTGGTGGCAACGGGAACGACAGTGGTAGTGGTGACAACGGGAACGGTGGTAGTGGTGACAACGGGAACGGTAGTAGTGGTGACAACGGGAACGGTGGTAGTGGTAACAACGGGAACGGTAGTAGTGGTGACAACGGGAACGGTAGTAGTGGTGACAACGGGAACGGTAGTAGTGGTGACAACGGGAACGGTAGTAGTGGTGACAACGGGAACGGTAGTAGTGGTGACAACGGGAGCAATAGTAGCCGAGGAAGAAGCAACGTATCCAGAGGTGGAGGCCGAGGAAGAAGCAACATATCCAGAGGTGGAGGCCGAGGAAGAAGCAACATATCCAGAGGTGGAGGCCGAGGAAGAAGCAACGTATCCAGAGGTGGAGGCCGAGGAAGAAGTTGAAGACGAGGCGACGTAGCCGGAGGGGGAGGCAGAGGCAGAGTAAGCAGCCGAGGAGCTCGAGACGGGATATCCGGTCGTAAGGGGAATGCACTTGTAGACCGAGCTAGCCGTAGCAGCGACCGAAGAGCTGGCGGTGGTGGTGGGAAGTCCGTACGCGTTGACGGTCGCTGTTATCGTCACGGAAAAGTGATGAATGTGGGAATCAGCGGAGTTGGTGCAATACGATGTAAAGTTGCGATATGCCGCGACAACCGATATCGATGCATTCCACAGCAAGCAATGTCGGTTGACTGGTACCGCCCCTCAAAGCCCAGTGAGGTTTCTGGAGAATGTCGCCTTCAAGAAATACAAGTGACATGGAATCTAAGGAGTACTTACAGGACTGGACATAGGGGGGAATGTAGGCGGCGTTGACGGCGGCAACAGCCAGGAGCGAGGCAGCGAACAGGGAAAGCTTCATTTTGGCGGATTCGAGTGGTGTTTCAAAAATGGAAAGGCGGGCGTTGGCGGACCTTGCGAGGAGGTTTCTACGATCTATGCTCAAGGCAGAATCTAGCGATCTCGGCGTGAAGATGCGGAATTGAGTAGTCAGGGCGCACGGAGGCTTTATATCGTTTCGCTGTGGAGATTTTAGGTTTTGTGTCCCAGTGATGCAGAAAGCCGCATAATTTGTGCTGGAACCATCAAACGTGCCTCCGCGCGGAACGAGAATGCCGGTCTCGCGGTTCAGCCATTGGACACAAGTGTCGCGAGCGGCGTCAGAGCAGAAGCCAAGTGGCTGTCGAGATGGAGGACAATGGCAACAGGCAATGAGCACGCCGCGGCAGCTGGGCTTGAATGGCGATGGAGGGGATAGGTTGAGTGGGTGAACTGGGCGAGTCGACTCGAGTCGGAGCGCGATGCAACGACTCGGGGCATGGAAGAAAGGGTGGAGCAAGTGAGCTGCATCAGCAAGGAATGAGGCCTTGACCTGATTTGATGGCATGAGACGCGACAGCGCGCCGACAGAGATTCGTCGGCGGTGACAGGCCACGGGCTTCAATCCGATTGGCGGACCAGCGCCATGGGCAGCCAAGCGGCAGAGGTCCAGCCCGAAGCAGGACGTTCCCGAGAACGTGCGGCCGTTCGGCTGTGCCAGGGGTGCAACGCGGCCATGCGCGGCTGGTCGCGGTCGGGGAATCAGCCAAGAGCCGATTAAGGAGCCGGGGCGTGGTGGCGGCGGCGGTGCCATGAGTCTGCCGCGACGTTGCCAGTATCACTGCGGGTCGGTTGCGGAGCCGCGAACCGGCTCTCAGCAAGTCCGGCACGCCGGGTTACAGGCAGATCGAGTCAGTCACATCGCGCTTGCATGATGGATCGCTGGAACGAGTACTCCGTCGAGGATGTCGCTGGGGGTGCCGTCGAGGATGTCGTCGAGGATGCCGGTTGCTTGCTTGGGCTCGCTCGTCACTGGCACACCGACACGCATCCCCCGCTATTCTCGATGGCCGAAACGCAACCTGCCCGCTGCGACCAAGGTCTCCACGTTTCTCCCGCAGGCACGTTGGTTGCGTGTTTCCAACTGGGGGGGGGCAGTTGTGTCTGAGCTTCTGCCTGGCAACTGTTGGGCTTCTGTTGGGCTTCTGTTGGGCTACTGTTGGGCTTCTGGTGGTCTGCAGCTGCCTTTGTCAAGCCGCATGGGCCCGCCGGTGGGGAAAGCCGCTCTTGCCACCTGGCCGCCGCCGCCGCCACCGCCCTGCGGCCTGTGCTCTTGGCTTGCAGCCCATGTCCTTGCTTCCAGGCGTGCCTTCGAAATCACCCTTCGGATTGCGTGACCGTCACAGCGCCTCCGGGCACCGGCTTCGGTCCGGCTCGAGGCCCGATGTCGCCCAAGCCTATCCGCCTCCTCCCTCTCCTCCGCCTGCGTTTCCCCCCCCCGTCAAGTCCACAGCACCATCAAAGAGTGCAGGACCACCAATCCTCTGGAACGTGCAAATGTGTCCTATTGCAGGCCAGTCCACAGATACGAGAAAGCACGGACTTTGCCCGTCTCTCCTCACCCCCCGCTCTCGCATCAGAGGAATCCACGACCCGGGATCTTTGAGCAATCCACCCGCCGAATGCCAGGATGCAAACCCGCTAGTTTGGTGTGATTGTGACAGCGTGGCCGAGCTGGAGCATGACTCTGTTGCCGGCAGCGGCATCCTTGTCCTCCGGCTCGTCGTCGGGCTGGTCGAACGGATTGGTAGGCGGGTTGTTGCCCCTGGCTCGCTCTTCCTCCTCGACCTCCCGGTCGATTGCGTGGATGCCCTCTTGGATCGTGTCAAAGATGTGCTCCGATCCAACGAGGTCCAGGAGCCCCGAGCGCCGGAAGAGCACAATGTGGAAATCGTGCAGACCGGTAAAGTAGATGGGGAACTTGCGTCGCTTGAACGAGCGTGTGATAACCTTGAGCATATGGATTGCCGCCGAGTCCTAAACGATGAGCGAGGCAGGTTAGGTACGCCGCAGATTGCCGAGCCCTGAGCGAGTAACGAACGGGCAGGCCGACGGGGCCAGCGATGCATTTCCCTCCGTTCACCACCACAGCCAATGGCTACACCTATGTGTGTGTCAGTTCGAGATGCCACCCAGTCCCACCATCATCCGCGCATGACTTTATGGCAGTAAACGGCCCGCCGACTCACCATGTCGGTGCTGTTCTTCAGATCAATCAAAATGTAGTGCGGGTTATGTCCGCCGTGGTCGTCACCAGTGACTTGGACGGTGCCGAGATCGGTGTCGCTGCCGCGCAGATCTGTGTCTCCGCCAAGTGTGCTGTCGCCACCAACCAACACTGGGTTGACCTCGCGGGCGTGCTGCAGCGCCAGTTTCTGTTCGGCTCGGATCAGCAAGTCAATCTTGCGCTGGAGGGTACCGCAGTTGTAAAACATGATCGGTGCCTCGATCTTCATGATCAGGACATTGTCAAACAACTCAGCCTCAGGGTGCTCCTTGGTGTCGACAAAGTAGCCACTGTCGTTCGTGATGCCGTTCGGCACCCAACCGAGGACGGACATGTTGACGATGGTGGTGTGTCTGAAGATGATGAGAGAGGCCAGGAGCAGGCACAGCACAATGCCATCACTGATCGTCGTGGCCAGGGTGAGGGCCCAGGCAATCAGAAACAGGGCCACCTCGATCCAGCCCTGCCGTTGAAACGAGAACCGGTGACAGATCAGCATCGAAGTGAAGGGTATGCGAGACGAGAGGGTGCCTGCCAACTTCCTCCTCCGATCTACTCTCGGGCACATGCCGACGACACTTTGCTGGTATCATCAAGCTCATCCAACCACGCATCATGGTCCCCAGCCTGACCTCGTCAGCCACACAAGACCTACCCGAATCTTGAACACAAAGATAATCTCGCCCCATTCGATCAGGTTGTATGCAGCCACAAACACAATGGACGCCAGTGTGCTCTTGGGCAGGAACTGGAGCACCGGGACCAGCGTGACGAACGCTATCAGCACCAGAATCGCTGCAAAGAGGCCCGCGAGAGTGGTGCGTCCACCAGCCACCGCCAAGATCTTGGATCTGGGTAGCGAGCCAAAGGTGACATAGCATCCCATAAATGATCCCACGAGGTTGGCTATGCCAAGGGCAAAGAGCTCGCGGTTACCCGAGGGCGAATACTCGTTCTTGAGACCAAACTTCTTTGTGACCGTCTGGGACTCGACAAACCCGACGATGGTCAGGATGATGGTTGGATAGACCAGTCGCTGGATCATGGGAAAGCTGAGAGGCGGCAGGGTCGGCGGCGAGATTTGGTTGTTGAACCGACCCAGAATGTGGATTCCCATTGAGTTGAAATCGGCCGCGGCCGAGACCGAGATCATGATGATAACAAGCAGCAGGATTTGCGGCATGAGACGAAGGGCACCGCTCTTGTGGCCGTATTTTTTCTTGATCGTTTGGATGCTCAGCAGGAAGGCGATGCTGACGATGCTGCAGGCCAGGGTCTTGAAGTTGGTCGTCGACAGGTAGTTACACACCTCGGTGAGCTTCTGGATGGTCGAGAGCTCGCCAGCGGGATGGTCGTTGATGCCGAGCAGTTCGGGAAGCTGCTCGACCATGATCAAAGATGCTACACCCGTGACAAATCCAGTCTGGCATGAGGGTGTGAGAGTGTGAGGGTGTGAGAGTGTGAGAGCGTGAGAGTGTGGAACAGAGGCCGAAAGCAGTTCCCGGATCAATGGCAGTACAACCACAGTCGCAGCCACACACTGACACAACCACAGCCATAGTCACACACTGACACCGACACTGACACTGACACATACGACTCGCGTGGCCAGCGCAGCGGCACCAAAGCAGCCATCCGGCCCCGATCCGCCCACAGCGCGGTATCGGCAGACATACCAGCAAATAGCCGGACAGGATATTGTCGATGAAGCCGGCTTGCAGGGCCGAGAGGATGAGCAGAAAGACGCCAACCAGAAAGGCGAGACTGGAGGCGAGCTGGTCCGTGCTGTAGCCGTTTTGCGACTCCTGCAGCACAGTGACGCCGACGAGAACACTCGACAGAGCTTCTGGGCCTACAGAGCGGTCGCAGCAACGAGGGTGTCAACAAAAAAACAACCAACAAACCAAGAAGCATGGTCGGGCACGAGCTGCGTGCTGGCTGCTGCTCATTCGTACCAACGGAGAGTTGTCGCGACTGGCCAAAGATGGCATAGATAACGACTGGGAAGACGGACGAGAGCAGCGCACGAATCGGCTGAACCTGAGCAAGCGTGCTGTAGGCGATGGACTTTTGTGGGGCAAAGAATCATGTGTGAGGCTGGGAGACAGGCTGTTGGCTGAAAGGCCCATCGTTGGCCGACCTGGTTTCGAGCGGCGTTTCGAGAACAACCGGGCATGGAGCAATCTGCTCGAACAGACGAACCTGCGGAATCAGGACAAACGCGATGGTCACGGCAGCAACAATGTCTTCGCCAAAGAGCTTTAGATTGTACGACAGGATCTGCGGGATGATGGGAAACGAAGTGTAGACCCAGGAGCGGATGTGCTCTCGGGTAAAGCTGCTGCGAAGAGCCCGGAGCTTTTCTTCCAAGGCGCCGACCTGGTGGCTGCCGTAGGATTCATGGATAGAGGCGATGGCCTGGCGGCGTTGGTCGGTCGTGACGGTGCTGAGGCGGCTGGAGCGCTTGCGCAGCGCCTGGCTAACCATGACTGTCGAGCTTGCTGGCGAGGGTCGGGTCGGGTCGAGGCGGTGAAGGCCCTTGGTTGAGCGGGCCAAGTAGGATTTATGCGACGAGGGCTTGCAAGGGCGAGACCAAGGGCAGGAGGCGAACGTGGGGCTCGTGGGAGAAGACGTGTCCCTGCGTGCAAGCATGCATGAATGTACAGGGATATCACCTGGCCGCCACCGGTGCGACACCGGGAGCGCACCGGGAGCGGCGTGTTTGTGCATGGGTCTGACGAGCCAGTACAGAGCCCCAGATTCCAGCAGCGGTGCTGGATCGTTACTGTAGACGCAAGTTTCAGTTGCAGTTCCCGGTGCGTCGTCTGTGGGCTCTGACGAGCCAATGTCGTTGGCGGGGTTCTGGTCGGTGTGGAGAGACAGGGTTGTTTGTGCTCTCGATTAACATTGCACACCTCGATTGGAGATGCACATTGCATCACAGCTCGGCTCTGCTGGATCTGCTGGCTCTGCTGGATCTGCTGGTTTTCAGACACGGACGCGCTGTTGTCTGTATGCAATTGAGGACACGTCCGTCCGCTCGGGGCGGGACACAGCACGCACACGGGCTGTGACTGTGGACATGCAGGCGCTCGCAGGAGTTTTATTCGGCCGGGTCGGGCCAGTGTTGCGCCGCGAGGCGCGGCCATGTTCATGGAGTCGAGCCGCACGAGGACCAGCACAAGCCACCGCGGTCCCTGCGGCAAGAATGCGCCCCTGCGGTCGAATGCATGCATCCGGAAGGGCGAGTGGCCGATTCGCAAAGAATACACCGCGTGGATGGTTTAGTGTGGATTGGCGACAGAGGCTTGCACCAGAGGCATCGTGCGGCCGCAAGACATGCCTGGGTCGGGCGCTCCAGCTGTGACCTTCCCGCGAACGACCGCCGTGAAGGGGGAACACATCCGGCCTCCAAAGCCCAGGGCAGTCCACGTCCTTAAGCCCGTTACCCAAAGAGCGTGACCGATCGCTCGTGGCAAATATGGCATGTCCAAGACCGCATGCACAATCCTATAACAGTCCGCCCGCTGCTGCGCATAGCACGCCTCTTTGGTTTCAGGTTTGTGCTGGCGCTCAGCCCAGGCAATAGAGCAGCGCGCACCGATTGGCCGGGCAGTGCTGGGCTGCGATTGGTGCTGGACACGGCACCATGCGCGTCTGTGCAACAGGCACTCCGCTGGGGAGCCGCGTCTGCTCTTGTCGCAGCCAGCGGCCGCCACTGCCACCAACGCAGCAGTCCAGCCGGCGCAGCGTTCACCCACCCCCGACAAAGAGGCGCGCCGTGGACAGCAATCAACGCGAACCTGGCTCTGCGCGACCACAGAGCAAGGCACAAGGCGTTCTGTGCTCACCGCAAATGCATAAGCAACACCATATGCTCGTAGGCTCGATACACAACGCTGTGTGCTCAGCATGACCCCACCCGCGTCAACGGCGCAACTGTGTCGACAATGTGCACCGCCACGGCAGACGGCCGCGTCCCCTTGCTGCTGAGCGAGCCAATCACTCCATGTCAGCTTGTTCGGCCTGCGATAAAAAGCCAGCCAGCCTCTTCCCCCCCCCCTGTCGTTCTTCGTCTCCATCGAACTCTGCAGCGATGGTCTCGCTTCTTGCCCTTGGCACCCTGCTGCTCGCCCTTGGGCCAGCCAGAGGCGCTCATCTCGTTGGCTACCATCTCGGATGGTATTACCAAGAACTGGCCAGCAAGCAACCCTTCCAGGTTGGCACATCGGTCCATTTCCGCCCTCGTCGGTCTCACCCAGGCCGCGCTTCTATCCACTGCCCAGACCATCTGCCTCTCCGTCTGTTATCATTGGTGCTCCTTCTCCAGCTCCATGCTCATCCGCTCCATCTCCCTTTGCTCATCCGTGCCCGACCCCGCTCGTACGGCACCATGCTCTCCAGTACACCCAAGCCGTCACCGATCGCTACACCCACATCAACTATGCCTTTGCCACCATCGAGTATCACGCCACTCTGGACCAGTACTATGTCAGCTTCATGGACGAAACCACCGATTATGTGAGTGCCCTTGAGATTGTGCAGTGAGCCCCAGCGTCGCCCAGGATGTCCACTGACGTTGACAGACGTCCGGCGATATGAACTCCATTCCTGACCGCCTCCCGCTCCACAGACCGACTTTGTCGGAACTCAGGACACCAGCGGCTGCATTGCTGTCCCTGCTAACCAGCAGTGCAGCACCGGCGCCAACCCCCTCTTGGCTATGGTTCCCTACAGTAAGACAGCTCGCCACCGCCAGCCTCGCTGCATCCATCTGCTGCATCCATCTGCTGCATCCATCTGCTGCTCCACACGACGCATCTTCGGCAGCAAGCCCCAATCCTGTCCTTCTGCCTGAACCCAACGTCATTCCCATCTCCCCAGTCGGCGCCAGCGGCAACTGCCCTGATTCCAGCTGCTTCAACCCCAATGGCCAATGCACGTCTGTTGCCAACAGCGTACGACATCTGCCTCCGCCTGGTGCTGCTCCTGGCTGCGGCGCTGCTATCGCCTCGTTGCTTCGTCGCTCTTCTACCTCTCGCCGCTCTATTAATGCCTCCCATGTTCTCAGGGCAAGTTCATCAACGGCAACACCCCGGTGATCTGCGGCAGCTATGCGTATCTGTAAGCCGCTGACTCTGCTCATCCAACTTGCCTCGACAATGTTCATGGCACCAGTCGCTAATTGACTCGATCTGTATCAACTGGCTCTCTTCCACACTGATACCCATGCAAATCTTCCATGCTGATACCCATGGCAAACCTCTGCCCTGATACTGCGCTCATTCTCGTCCACTCTCTAGGATGAAGCAGGTCAAGAGCGCTTCGCCCAACCTCCGATTCCTTATCAGCATCGGTGGTTGGACCGACTCCAACCTCTTTTCGCCTGCCACCGAAGCCAAGTACATTGACAAGTTTGTCACCAGCATCGTCAAGTTTGTCCAGTTCTTTGGCTTCGATGGCGTCGACTTTGACTGGGAGTACCCTGTCTTTGAGCATGGCGGTCAGGCCGTCACCGCCTCTTCACCTGTTCCCGGCGGCACCGTTGACTCGGTCTCGGACTGCTCTTCAAGCGGCTGTGCCTATCCTGGACGTGTTAACGACCGTGCCAAGTTCAACAACCTGCTCTCCAAGACCCGTGCTGCCTTCAATGCCATCGGCAAGACTGCCAACAACGAAAACTACCTGATCAGTATTGCCGCCCCTGCCGGAGACGAGAGCTCCAAAATGGATCTCCCGACCGTCTGTGGCATCGTGGACTATGTCAACGTGGGTGGTTCTTGGGCCCCATTCACCTTGTATCGGCAACATGCGCTACTGCACTGCACTGCTGGCTCTGATGACATGAGTGTATCGCGTTGCTCGCCGACCCGTTCACTGAGCAAGCTCGTGTTGTTTGTCGCCCGCAATTTCACCGTTCGCTGATCCAAACTGCATCACCTGCTCTGTCTGTTGCAGCTGATGACCTACGACATGGCTGGATCTTGGGACTCCAACACTGGGCACCACGCTCCTCTGTATTCAAGTACGTCTTGCTTCCACCGCAACGTACTCGTGCATTCCCTATTCTGTATTCCCTAGCTGTCGCCACAGACGCTGCACTCCCTATGGCCTCGCCTCTACAGCCGTTGCATGTGCCGTGCGCTCCTCTCGTTGAATGTAAGCTGATATGAATCCACCTACTTTCGCTGCGGGCATATCCATCAGCCGGTGGCAGTCTCTCCGTCGACACTACGGTCTCGACTTACCTCTCCCAAGGCTGTCCCTCCAACAAGCTTGTTGTCGGCATTCCGTTCTATGGCCATGCCTGGTGAGTACCGCATCTCATTGTCTACTTGAGAGCTCGTGTCTTGCGTCCTGGCTTGCCGCTGGCAACACCAAACCAAGAATATTGACATGCCCATTAACACATTACCCCTATCATCGTTTAGGTTTGGCGTGGCCGATGGCGGAACTCACGGCCTCGGTCAAGCGGGTACCTCTCCACCCGCCTCGCTCAACTGGGACTATCACAGCATTATCGCAGATACCACCTACTCGACGTACTGGGACAATCAAGCCTACGCCAGTTTTGGATACAGCGCGGCCGAGTCGCGGTTTGTCTCGTTCGATGACACGGAGGCAATCACGGGCAAAGTTCAATACTCGAACGCCAGAAACCTCGGGGGCTTCATGGTGAAGTATCGTCGGCGGCTGCCACCCCATATCTCAACCCTCGGACACACTGTAGAGTCGCTACTATGCTGACAGTCAGTGCATCCCTTCATTCCAGATCTACCCCAACAACGGCGATGACGCATCGAACACCTTGCTGTCTGCTCTTCCGGGCCGTTACGCCGGGTGCTATGTTGACGGTCCCACTCGCGTCCTGTCGTACTCTGCTGGGGTATGGTGCTCGAACAGCATATGTGGCTGTTGTATAGGATTGCAGCCATACAGCGGTACAGCGATACAGCGGTACAGCGATACAGCCATACAGCCATACAGCCATACAGCCATACAGCCATACAGCCATACAGCCATACAGCCATACAGCCATACAGCCATACAGCCATACAGTGGATTAGAAGAGCGAACTTTGGAAAAATGATCTTTGTGCTCGTACTGACCGATTGCCAATACGTATACCCACACAGCAATCGTCCTCGATGACACTCCAATCCTGTTCCAGCATCTGCTCCAGCAACGGATACAAGTAAGTGCGACAGCATGCCTGCAAGCACAACATGGACTCGTTCCGTTGTCGTGACGGCTCACCATGGGACATTTAGTTGATGCTAAATGATCCAATCTCTATCGCCAGACTCTTTGGAGTTGAAAACGGCAGCGAGTGCTATTGTGGCAACAGCATCGTCTCGGGCACTGCTGGCGGCAACGGCGGAGTCGCCGGCACCTTGGCTCCGACCAGCGACTGCAACACGCCCTGCAGTGGAAGCTCCAGCGACATGTGTGGAGGTGGCTGGCGAATGTCTGTCGACTTGGTTGCTGCACCTCTACAGATTCCTGGTTGCTTCGTCGACGGTAGCAGCCGCGTCCTCTCTGGATACAGCACGGTGAGTAGGATGTCAATCCGTTCTATCATGATCAGAGACAGGTGTGACCATGCAATATGATGACGGGTACTTGCACCGCAGTGCCATGATGCTTATCGACTCCTTTTCTTCCTGCACTGCCAGACATTGAGCTCGATGACTCCATCTTCGTGCAGTCAAATCTGCGCCGGCAAGTCTTTCAAGTATGCGCATTACGAGTCATTTGGGTTTAGCAACGTCGAGCGATCGACTGCAATCGCTGCCACTTGGTCGCTGTCTCACTGCAATCCAACAGATTCCATGCCACTAACACAACTCCCTTCGCGATTACATAGGTACTATGGCGTCGAGTATGGATCCGAATGCTACTGCGGCAACTCCATCAACTCAGGCAGTCCTGGTGGCGATGGTGGCGTCGAAGGTGTCAATGTTGCCACCTCGCAGTGCAACGTTGCATGTTCTGGTGATTCCACCCAAGCTTGTGGAGGCTCCTGGAGAGTGTGGGTTGCCCCTGTCTCCTCCACGCCTCCTCCGCCTCCCCCGCCACCTCCGCCGCCGCCGCCGCCGCCTCCTCCAACCAACAATCCGATTCCTGGATGCTACATCGACGGTTCGGCCCGAGTTTTGAAGGACTTTTCTACGGTACGCTGCCTCCTCGGATATCGAACGCATCCCACACAGCATGTCATCAACTAACCTTCGTGTCTCCCCCCCTCCTTCCTTCCAGCAATCCTCCTCGATGACGCCAGCAACCTGCAACAGCTTCTGCGCCAGCAAGGGATCCACGTGAGTTGAGCCACACCTATTCAGCGTTTGTACACGTCAGTCATATTCATTGCACTCACAGTCGACGTTCTAACCTCCATCAGGTACTACGGCGTTGAATACGGAGTGGAATGCTACTGTGGCAGTACCATTACTTCTGGTTCAGCCGGCGGCAACGGCGGCACCACTGGAACCAACGTTGCCTCGAGCCAGTGCAACACGGCTTGTGCCGGCGACTCAACCAAGACTTGCGGCGCTGCATGGAGAGTTTGGATCGCTCAAGTATCCTCGACGCCACCTGCGCCGCCGCCTCCCCCCACCAACAATCCGATTCCTGGATGCTACATCGACGGTTCGGCCCGAGTTTTGAAGGACTTTTCTACGGTACGCTGCCTCCTCGGATATCGAACGCATCCCACACAGCATGTCATCAACTAACCTTCGTGTCTCCCCCCCTCCTTCCTTCCAGCAATCCTCCTCGATGACGCCAGCAACCTGCAACAGCTTCTGCGCCAGCAAGGGATCCACGTGAGTTGAGCCACACCTATTCAGCGTTTGTACACGTCAGTCATATTCATTGCACTCACAGTCGACGTTCTAACCTCCATCAGGTACTACGGCGTTGAATACGGAGTGGAATGCTACTGTGGCAGTACCATTACTTCTGGTTCAGCCGGCGGCAACGGCGGCACCACTGGAACCAACGTCGCCTCGAGCCAGTGCAGCATGGCTTGCTCTGGCGATTCGACCAAGACCTGCGGCGCTGCATGGAGAGTTTGGATTGCCCAAGTCACTGTCGCCCCGCCTCCGACCAATCCCGTTCCCGGCTGCTATATCGATGGCTCGGCTCGTGTTTTGGCCGACTACAGCGAGGTAATGCTCCTTCCCCATAGCTTGCCATCCATGTTGTGTTGATGGCTGGAAAGTTGATCGGACGGCCTCTCTTGCTTCAGGTCTCGAGCTCTATGACTCCCGCAGTTTGCAACAGCTTCTGTTCGAGCAAAAAGTCCAAGTAAGTGCCATCCATGTTGAGCGCTTTCTGGTAATCGGATGCTGAGCACGATCATTGACGATGAGCAATCGTGCGGATTAGGTACTACGGCCTGGAGTACGGCTCGGAGTGCTACTGTGGCAACACCATCACCTCTGGCTCAGCCGGCGGCAACGGCGGCACCACCGGCACCAACGTTGCCTCGAGCCAGTGCAACATGGCTTGCTCTGGCGATTCGACCAAGACCTGCGGTGCTGCATGGAAAGTGTGGATTGCAACGGTTGCATAAGCGGTGCGCTTCGGAAAGTCTCTATGGTGATTGTGTTGTGAAGTATCTATGCGAGTATTTTGACTCTCCGACGTTTGCGTCGGTAGTCGGTTGGTGTTACGCTATTCAGAAAAGCAAAATGGGACACGTCCATACGAAATGAACATGTATTCTGCGATAGGCTGAGCCCGACAAAGCCATATACAATGAAAACTGATCACCTTGGCGAATCCCTTGGCCCGGCGCATGCCTGCACACCACAGCGCATTTGGATGTCGTGAGATGGCTCCATTTTCAAGAGCCGCCGGCCCATTGAGCATCCTTGCAGTGCACCCGGCATGCATCCGCGACTGGCCGACGAAATGGTCTCCGCCGCTGGGCCGACCCAAAGATACCCAACACCGCCGATGGCGTCGCCCCCCAGCCGTCCTGGGCGGGCGCAGCGGCGGGGTATCCGCATCATGCCTCATGATTCGTCACCTGCACCGTCACATCCTTCGGGCCGGTTGCGCCCAGAGTCGCTGTCAAACCCAGCCAGATGGCTGCGTTATGCGGGCTTTTGCTGCGATGCAGGGCATATCAATCACCGCGAGCTTGTTCGCTGCACATCTGGCCAGCAACAACGGATCTGCTCACAGGCGGGCCCAGACGGCGGTGCTGCTCCGTCGGCGGGCTTTGGCTGGTCATCATCGGCGGCCGACCTCCGAGCAGCGGCCGTCGCCACCGCTTCCGCCCTTGGTGGGTTGGCGGCGTTGAAACCTTCCTCTCTTGTGGCTCTTCTGGTTGCTCTGGTGATACCCATCCAGCGAACGAACGAAATGCTCCAGAGAAGCTTGATGTCGCTATAAGAAGCGCCATCGCCGGCCTGACGCTTGCCCAGCAACGCCCTGCCTCCCGTCTTCCTCGGCTTTCTGACCGCACACCCGCCTGTCCTTGCGTCTTGCTCCTTGGCCCGTTTGCAGAAGCTTCTCTCTCTGCTCCCCTTGCCTGATCATCCCTTTGCTCTCGGAGCCCAAGCACTGGGCTGCCTCGCCTATCGTTCACCATGAGCGGCGACCTCGACCTTACCCAAACTTCAGGTGGGTGGCACTCGGTTTCCAACGGTCGCGCGGACCTGACTCCCAGAGTCAACGAATCCCTCGGGCTGGCTCTGTTGAGATGCCGCTGGCGGATGCAGCAACTGAGATCTGATCTTGCTTGATCGAACGCTGCACACCCAGCATTCGAGCAATTTTATCGCCTCACGCAGCCAAACTCCATCTGGGACGACATACAGGCAGGAGATGAGGCCGCCGTATCCACAAAGATCAAGAGCCACTATATTACCTTTGATACCGTCGGCAAAGAAGGCGAAAGCCCACTCCACTTTGCCATTTTGAGCAACAGAGATGCAACGAAGGATTCGCCTTGGTACAAGATAGCCGTGATGCTCATCAAAGAATTCCCCGACCTCGTTCACAAGCCCTACGGCGTTGGGCGATACCAAGGCGAAACTGCCCTCCATCTCGCTGCCGCGAAGAACCAACCCCGCATGTTTGATTTGTTGATCAATAACGGTGCCGTGGAGACGATATGCTCCGGTGCCCCGGCGTGTCTCAGGAACGACTCGAACGCCGATGCCGCCTCAATCACCAGAATCCATTCCCCTGATCAGCTGTGCGGCAGCGCCTTCAAACCAGATGAAGAGAACGGCTACATGTATTATGGGTAACTCCGAAACACTGTCGCAATGGCTTCGAAGACCCGGCTCTTGCTTGGTCCAAGTTGTGGGCCCTCGACACTCATATTCTCCACGATCTATTCCCTGTGGCTCGCTATCTCTCCGCTCCTCTGTCCACTTGGCGTCGCTACCGGATCACAGCAAATCGGTTCTGTAAGTGTCGGCTCCCCGTAAACAACAAGAGGCTCCTGACTCCCAGTTTCCTGTCCGGGCCATGTCATCCGCATTGTACACCAGATTTGGCCTTGTTCTTGGATCTGGCTAACGTCAGTGTACTCTTCACCTGATAGCTCCTTTGCCGCAGTCGTCGGGTCAACCGAACTCGTCCAACTCCTGCTGGAAAGACACAAGGGGAGTGTGAAGCAGGATACAGATGTTACTGTCGGTCCATCATGCCCAGTCGAAGGGAACGGTACGTGTTGCTGGACACACAGTCGATTCGATTAGAGTATCGCCCGCCTTCGTCCTCGATCTTATCGACCGATTGGATCGAGAGTCGCGGCGCGCTCACCCTGGATGGTAGAGTTGGCTGACGTGGATCCTCTTGGATGTCTGCTCGGGGTTCTCCACCCTACTACCGACACCACCGTCCAGGCAACACGGTTCTACACGTAAGTGACATCCACCAGCCTGCCATTGCCGCAGCAGTCGACCAATAGGCTACAGTCATATGCTTACAGGGGATGGAGATTCGGTTGATCAGTGATGTGCCGCTGCGCTGTGATGGTCGCATGCACATGCTCACTCTGATTGTGGGTATACTGCAACGACAGGTTCTTGCCTATTGGGGGCTATTCCAGTCCAATTGCATCGACCAGCAATCTTGCTGGGACATCATCGTCGCCTTTTGCGACAAAGAGTATGGCCGCGGATCCGATCAACACCCCTTCAATATCTGCAACCATGATGACTATACCCCGTTCCGCCTCGCGATTAAGCGTGGCCATGTTGGTGCCATGGACACCATCAAGACCCAAATGTGGGAGGTAAGCCGACGCGATCGAGCCCCTGACACCAGGCTTGCCTCGTACCAAATCAGAGATTGTGCTGCAATCGACCATGTCAACCGCCGGCGTTCCACCCGCCCGGCTGATGGCTGATGGCTGATGGCTGATGGCTGATGGCTGATGGCTGATGGCTGATGGCTGATGGCTGATGGCTGATGGCTGATGGCTGATGGCTGATACCAAATGAGCGCCGTCTCCATAGTTTGGCATGTCGAGATCAATCCTCTACCGAGTCGATGAGATTGACACGACGAGAATCGAATTCGGGCCCACCACACGCGGCGATCAAACCCCAGTCGATGAATTCAGCTCGCTGCACTACAAGCGCAACATATTCTCGCCCACGGTTGGGCAGAAATCCGCTCTCCAGATTGCTGTTGAGCACAAGCACCATCACATTCTCACGCATCCGATCATGCATATCCTCCTGCGAATCAAATGGGAGACTCATGTCCGCAGAGCCTACCTTTTCGAGCTTGCCCTCCAAGTGCTCATGATGGTTTCCATCACCGTGGCATTCATGCTCCTGCCATCGGCGTATAGTACATGGAAGGACGTTGACGTCAACCTTCATCCCAACATCACGGCGATCCTCGCTCCAAATATGACCGTCAGCGTCGATCCCAACATCTTCGATCCCAGTGCCAACTTCACCACCAGCATCAGCTCCAACTCCACCGCCAGCTTACTTTCGAGTATTTACGCAAAGAACTCCCGTGAAATCGCGCGAGCATCATTCGAATGTGTGATATGTGTCACCATCATCATCATCACTTTCCGCGAGGTTATGTTCACCGCTGCTCGCTTCACTTGGCCCTACTACAAGGAAGCAAAGCCAAAGAAGAATGACGATGCGGTCGTGGGAGCCACAGCGATCAAGGCTCCACTCAGCCGAGTTGCCGTCAATCCCTTGGTTGTGTTCTACAACATTACGACCTGGTCTCTTCTTCCTTTGCTTTTGCTCAGCACTACCATCCGCCGCGCTCCCATTTCTCTCGATCAGCCGACCCGATATCTAATCGATAGCATCGCCATTGGTCTTCTTGCCCTCTTGGGCTGGCTGCGCGCTTTCTACTTTGCCAACGGCTTCTCAAGCCTCGGAACGTTGGTCATCGTGATATGGACTTGCATTACCAAGGATTTGTTGATCTGGTCGACCATCTATGGCATCGTGCTCTTCTCCAGCGCACAGATCTTTAGTCTTCAGATGCGAAGCAGCATGGGCGACAACCAAAACGTGACGCACTGGTCCAGGGCATCCTCGGCCCTGCTGTCGCAGTTTGGGTATGTCTTCTCTCCCTCGGAACTGAAGGGTGGTGGTGTCCATGTTTGATCATCCCGCCCATGCAGGACCGCTGCTTGTTGCTGACTCTGCTCTCGAATCACCACCTCAGGTTTCTGTTTGGCCAAGGCTCGCCGCTCGACGACTTTTCCAACTCCCCGACTGAGCCCTTCATCCTGACCGCCTATGTCCTCTACCAAATCATAACAGGTTCGTCTTGCTCCTTGCATGACCATGCCATCGGTTATCTACTATCTGCCATATGCTATCGCTTGGTGTGCTCTCACTGCACGACCGAACGGCTCTAGTGCCCGCGATCATCAGGACGGATGCGGGCAACAATCCATCTGATTGAGTATCGCGGTGCACCTTCCGATCGATATCCAATTCGAGCAATCCTTTGATTCTCATTACGGCCCTCGGCCCCATATCGATTGCTGTCATTTTCCCAAACTATGTAGCCATCTTGCTTCTGAACATCTTCATTGCGCAGCTGAACAAGACCTTTGAGGACATTTATGATCGGGCTGAGCTTTATTGGCACTACCAATGGGCAAGGTATCCTGCCTGACATCCGGGCTTGCACATGTACACAAACCCCTTCCAGCTGATCTGATGCGGCAGGGACATGGTCCTTGATTGCGTGAGGTTCAATATCGCTCACGACTCTGTCTATCATGCTCGTTCAGCTTGGTCATGCACTTTGACAGTCGAACGCCCGTCCGGACATTGAGCCATGGCAAAGATTCACTTGCTGCCAAGATTCTTCGATGGATCTTTCTTTCGTTGAGGCTTGCGACCAAAGCATCCCTCCGAATGCCTACTGGTGTCCCGCTTCCACTCAACAGAGTTGCCAATTGGGCCTCGCGGACGTCTGCTTCAGGAGGCATTGCCTCTGCGACGCCGATATCAGGAACATCAGCGGCATCGACAGCATCGACAGCATCAACAGCATCGACAGCATCGACAGCGTCGGCTACCCATGCTGCTGGTCAATCGACTCACGAGAACCATTCAGCCATCGGCTCTTCGTCTGGATCCGACCTCGCTCCACGACCTGAATCCTCCGCTAGCACCGTATCAAACGACGTTCGCGGTTCTCACCCCTCCCTCTCCCCCTTGGCCGCCCATAATCCAAGCGCACTAAGCCCAAGCACGATCAACGTGCACACACACCCATCAAACGCAGCCCGTTTGTCAACGTCCGGCTCGAATAACCAGGGCCTGACTGACGACTGGACAACTGCCAATTACCTGATCATCCGTGAGCGGAAAGAGCCAAGTGGCTCCCAAATCGAATCTCCGGACTGCAAAGACGACACAACCACGGCCAAGTCCAAGCCTAAGTTTAAGCCGGTTAAACTTCTTACAGGCCGAGCCGAGTACCGCATCGAAGGATTCAGTCCGTCGCGAATATGGTGGCGCTGGCAGGAAACAAGCGACGAGGCCTCCAGCGATAACCGGCCAGACCAAAGCGGAAGCCTCGAGCCGACCTCCGATGCCGGGGTAATCCCAGGCGCGACCACGGCTCCAAGCAGTGTGTCCATATCTATTGGGGAAATGAGGGCCACACCCAGTCCTCCCGGACTGGATAATCGACTTTCTCCTCACACCGACGCCAAAGATGGACAAGCCCTGCGCGAGAACGCCGGGCAAACCGCTTGAGTCTCGATCCGAGGGGTGGGGTGGGTGGTTGCTCTATAGCCATCGGAGTTCAGAGTCGGAATTCCGTGCGAGGCAGTGGTTCAGAAATATACAGCACTATCATATACAGCACATTCATAGAAGGTATGGGGGATTTATTTGAGACGGTGGGCAAACATTCATTGCTTCCAGCTCCGATTGCACAGCAGAGGGAGAGAAGGAACGGAAGGAGCCATAGACAGTGGAAATTACACCATCTCTACTGCATTATTGTCTGAGCAATGCGGGGAGGTGTGTTTCTCGTGAGTGGGAAGGGGGTGTGGGAAGGGCGTGTTGGATGGATGGATCCGGTGAATGCCAGCAGCAAGGACCTCTTTACTGGGTCTTGGGCTTCTTGGTCTTAGGCTTCTTGGTCTTGGTGGTCTTGGTCTTGGTGGTCTTGGTCTTCTTGGTGTGGGTGACAGGGACGGTGGTGGTGGCGGGCGGGGGAGGGGCAGGGCCGGAGGGAGGAATGACACCGAGGGTCTCGCTGAGCGAGTTGATGCCGGCCTCACCATAGCCGATCCAGAAGAAGCCGTTGGTACCCCAGGTGGCGGTCCAGTGGTTGCGGCAGAGCCAAGCCTTCTTGCTGTCGTCCCAGCCGATGATGGAGACGGCGTGGCCACCGAGCTGCTTGCTGGAGGTCTTGTGGTAGACGGCGTTGTTGGTGCAGCAGTGGGGGAAGTCATCGTAGACGGTGAAGGCAGTGATGGCCGAGCCGTAGACAGCGACGTGCTGCTTGATGTCGTTGATCGAGGCAAAGTTGGCCTCCTGGAGACCAGTGTGGCGCGAGCAGCCCTTCTTGCAGGGCAGATCCTGGCCAGAGAGGGCGGCGCCGTAGGGGAAGCACGAGTCGTCGACCCAGCCCTGAGAAGAGACATCGGCGACGGCGTGGCTGGGGTACCAGCCGGTGGAGCACGAAGCCTGGTCGGCGGCGCCAAGGCAGAAGAAGAGGTCGGCCTCGGAGACGGAGACGGTCTCGCCCTTGGTGGCAAGAGCAACCTCAACAATCTCGGCGGTGGAGAAGGCGACACAGCTGCCGCACTGGCCCTGGTTCTTGATGGCGCCAACCCAGCCCTTGGTGCGGGCGTCGAAGGAGGAGGGGAGGACAGCAGAGAGGACAGCCTCGCGCTGAGTATCGGTGCCATCGGCGGTGACACTGTCGCCCTACATAACCAGATCGATGCGAGAGGTCAGCATTCAGTTCCAACCAGGATGGCGTGGAACATGCCAGCGGGTCCAAGTGAACGAGCCAGCAACCAGGGCAGGGATATGCCGGGATGGCACATTTGCCGATGAACAGGTGTGGCCCGCTCCCGCCACCACCTTCGCTGCCACCGCCACAAGATATACACAGAGCCAGGAACAGCGCGGGCAAGACAGGACAGCGAATCAAGAACTTACAAAGACGGTGCCGATGAGGCTCGAGATGCTCTCATCGGAGTAGAGGTCCATCTCGTCATCAACGAGGTGGTTCTCGGAGTCGACGTGGTCCTTGACCTTCTGGACGAGGCCCTGGAAGGTCGAGTCGTTGGACTGGTCGACGTGAGCCTGGTAGGCACCCGAGGCATCGGTGTTCAGCTGCTCGGTGATGGAGCCGATGCGGGCATCGAGGTACTTGGTGTACTGGGAGAACTTGGTGCCGCGAGCAAAGGTGCTGCTGGCAAAGGTCAGGGCCAGACACAGGGTTGTGCAGGACTTGAAGAGCATGGCGGGCACGGTAAGAGGCTGAGGAGGAAGATTTGCCGGTGGTGGTGGTGGTGGGGGATATGGGAGGGCGGGCGTCCTCGAAGAGTCGGATGGTGATGTACATGGCGAGGGCGACGCCAGGACATTTATAGACCTGGTCGAGGGCGCAATGGGCCCCCGATGCAAGTTGGGCTGGGAGTGCCGCCAACAAGCGCAGGGTGGATTGCCCACAAGGTCTTTTCTTTTTCGACGCGTCCCTTTCTTTTCTGTTTGGCGACGAATGCCGCTTATGGACTGCCGATCGACAAGGAGACGGACCACCGATGGACAAGCGACGGGTGGGCAATGGATCATTAACGAACAAGCGGTGGAGCGCCGATGCACAAACAACAAACGAGTGACGACCCACCGACGGACAAGCAGAGGTTGTGCGCTGTCCCCACCAGCCCCCTTGGTCGCCACAAGGGGTGGGGCAGTGCTTGGGCGGCGCGGACAGGGCGCTCTGGGGACATGCGAGCGCTTGCCCTGCGAAGACAGGGTGCCGCAAGCAGGCGACTGGGGACTGTGTGCCAATGTTCTTTGGTGCAGAAAGATGGGGGGGGACTGAGGATACATTATGTGGATGTTCATCGCCGATGGTGATAACAAGTGCATGCGATCGATATCGACCACAGACGGACGCTGTCGGTGGATGCTGTTGTTGCATGCTGTCGGTGCTGTCGGTGCTGTCGGTGCTGTCGGTGCTGTCGGTGCTGTCGGTGCTGTCGGTGCTGTCGGTGCTGTCGGTGCTGTCGGTGCTGTCGGTGCTGTCGGTGCAAGCCGCACACACACTGCCCAACCGCCGCTCGCATACAGGTCTTTCTCATGACCGGCCTCGTGATCCGCGTGCATACAGTGGGCCGCGCTGGTTGGCGTCGTTGGCGGCCTCCGGGTTCCATGGTGGGTCCTTGTGTGGGTCCACGAGCACCCTCAGCCCAGCGACCGAGCGATGTGTGCGGCCGTGGCCCTGCGTTTCAGGCAAGGGCCGTGCGTGTCGGCAACCGGCGGTGTTGAAAAGTGTGGCTCCTCCGCCGAGATGCTCGTTCCGCCAACTCTAATCGACGGCTTCGATCCACACCTTTGGCGAGAAACACCCGAGCGCTGTCTCGCCGTCGATAGCAACATTGCCTGCTTTTGAGTTCATGTTGCGACCAGCACCGCCTGGGGAGATGCGGGCCGCAACCAGCACCGCCTGCCTCCCTGCCTGCACCGCCCGGCCCAGACCATCGCCTGGCTCGGCCACGGCCAAAAGGGAAAGGAAAAGGAAAGATCGCCAGCCCGAATGACCAATGTCCCTCCCTTTCCTGGCGGCGCGCTGGTCCCTGGCCCATCTCAAGCGCACGGAAGACACGCTCCCGATTCCCACGCAGCAGTTCAATCAACCATCTCCGTCACACCCCCCCCCTCATCCAATCACAATCATCTGATCACCCTGTCTGAGATCCGTCAGCACCTCGGCACTCGCTCTGGTCCGTCTCAGTTGCCATCCCTCAGCCACCGGCTCGCCACTGGCCGGATCATCCGACATTTCACGATGCCCCCATTCCCGGCCATCTCCATCGATGCCGCCCAATGTCGCAGAGGCCCCATCTTCGCCACCCGCAGGGAGCCATGGTGGCATGCCGTCAGCTGAGAACGGAGCTTGCTCTTCCACGGCCCATGGCCCGATGCACCGTCGCTCGCCGCTACTGGCTTATCGAGGCTGCTTATCCATCGAGGGCCGCGGGCGTGTCGAGGCCACCGGTCGTTCAGCGTCGTCCCGAACGAAAGCACCAGTATCCCAAGGAGAGGCGGGGTCTCAGCAGGCGTGATTTGAGCTCATCACCTTTTCGAGCGCAAGCCCAGCTTGTCGGGGGTGAGGCGAGGCCCGTAACGGACCTGGTTGAAGCTTCCAACAACTCTATGTCTGAGAACCAGGTCAACATTGATGCCCTGCCTCGTCTGTGAGTCCAACAACAATACCCCGGCCGATGACCGTAATCGGAGCCCAATGCCGCTGGGGCTTGACTCGAGCTCATCGGCAGACTCTGCGCCCAGCCACCGCTCGGAACACAGTACAAGCGCTCTCCCAAACAAACCATCTGCCTCCGGAGCCGCCACCACTCGATCGCCCACCACTCCGCCAGCTTAGTGGCTCCCGTCTCATCATTCGCACTGCTACAAGTATCTCTTGCCGTTCAGGCGGGTGCTGAGATTTGTTTTGCTGGGGCTGCCCCTCCAGACCATTGGCTACCCTGCATATCAATCGATCCAACCCTATGTCAACCATTCCCACGCCGCTTGCAGGCCTATAGACAGTGTTCTCCCTACAGATCAGTTCCTGTCGATGCCATATGACACACATTTACGCGCAAAGGGATGCCTTTGAAACTTGCACACGACGCCAAGTGTGCTCTGTTGCCTTTGTAAACATCGCCTCTCGATGATAAGAAGATGTTTTCCCTGCTGCTGCTGGGGCTGCTGGACCTCGGTTGTATTTGTCTTCACCGCGACCGACCATCTTCACCAATCTCACATCGTTTCAAATTCCACTTGTCTGTATCCGCTCCCGGTCTGGTGTTGTTTCGCGCATGAGTGGATTCAGATGGAGGAATGAATGGAGTTGCTTCGGATGGAGGGACAGAGGGGCGAATCCAGATGGAGGAGTGAATGGAGCGATCTGGATGGAACGCTCTGGATGGAGGAATGAATGAGTTGGATGCGATGGATGAGTTGGATGCGATGGATGCGGATGCCCTCTTCGCCTCGACCCACCAGGGACCGCAATCGGTCAATTGTCGCCGCCGATTGGGAGCAAATCACAGATTCTAATTGAACGTACACTTCTTCTTTCCCCCGTCACTCAAACGCACCTTTCCTGTTGGATGCGCTTGAATCCGAATGCGTCTCGGTGACTCCACCGATTCGCCCTCGTCTCCAAACCAGTCGCACGCAATTGAGACTGGCTACCTCGCTTGTCCGCCCTGCATCTACCGCCACGTTGCAAAAAATGGACCCGTCGCAATTCGACGACGACTTCACTCCCCTCTTGAGTATCTCTGCGGAACACTGTCTTATCGAATACGAACTGGAGGTGTCCCTTCAGGTCAACTACGTCAAGGCCTATCGAATGCTGCAAAACTCGGAAGAGCCGGCTGATTCGGATCCGCTTGAGCTACGGACGGCTTTCAACACCATGGTCAATAGCGCATACTTTGGCACGACCTTGTCACGGATAACATCCGACCCACTCCTGTCGATGACCCCGCTCTCCACATACGGAAATAGCGAAGAACGGCGAGTGGCTTTCCAAGACGAGACCCTGGGCCACCGCAACAAGCGGCTCTTTCTCATCCGGCTCAGCCGGTCCAGGATCGGTGCGTTTCTGATCAGGCTCGTCAGCAGGTTCACCTGCTACGGGTCACTTCCGTGCACTCGGCGGTGGTCCCGCCAGAGCGAGTATGTGCCCGTGGAGTGACGCTCACGCCAACGCGATATTGGCATCTGTGGGCGAGGGGGATTGTACAAAGCTGTCACGCTGTGGGATCTCCTGGTGGCACCGAGCCGACAACAGGAGCCAAGCACAGGACCGGAATCGCTCATGAACCCTTGGGCACTCGGGTTCTTGGTGGCCTGCCGCAATGTCCAAAGATCCAAGGTCGGTGCTCCGAATAGATCCCCAGTATGACCGATCTCGTCCGAGTGGCCGAGAATGGCGCTTTCTGGACCCCCTGCGGCTGCATCGAACATGCTCATTCGAAACGGGACACCCTGGTTTGAGTCGGGGCTGTCACAGGTCCCTAATACACATTCGCCCGTCGCCCGTCATAACCAAACAGTATGTCTAAGGAAACCGACAATGTGGTTGCCTTGGAAATGCCTCCTGGAAGCAAGGGAAGGGATATGCTTCCAGTCCCAGGAGACTCAGGTTCACTCGGTACTCTGAGCAATTCATCCACCACCAGATCCGTCTCCAAGACCATGTATGCTCAGTGAACGAGTTCAACACATCCCAGGTGGGCTCACAGTGCCGGGAAGCCAAGAGACTCGAGAAGGCCGAGTCTCTTGATGTCGATGCACCATGGAACTGTCCAGAGAGTGGAGTGGATGCATCCTACTTCTGCATCACACCCTGCATAGCAGTGGATCCATCAGCAATCCCACCGGCAATCCCACGCCGACCGAGTTGTGGAAACAGCATGCGCCTGGTTTGTTCAAGCATCCTATCGAGCCGGGGTCACTGTGGGGCGGATCCGAGACCGGCCGCCCCGGCTGAAACTGGGTCAAGGTGTGGGCTGTGGGTCCCGCCCATGTCTGGCTTCATCTCAGCGACCAAGACCCACAGCGATGCCGAGCAGACCGCAACGGGCCCTGGTGGTTGCAGCTCCATCGTCCGGCTCCGGAAAGACATCCGTGACCCTCGGCCTGATTAACGCCCTCACCCGCAGAGGACTTCGGGTCCAGCCCTTCAAAGTCGGGCCAGACTTCATCGACCCGCTTCACCACACCAAAGCGGTCTCGCTGGCTTCTTCGAACCTGTGCGGCGACTCAAACTCGCAGAACCAGCCTGGCTGCCAAAGCATACAGGGCGAACCCAATCGCCAGAGCCATCGGGATAAGTCGGGCCGCCATACCGCCGCCTCATTCAACCTTGATGGGTGGATGCTGTCCAAGGAAACAGCCCTTCGCTGTTTCCAGCAAAACTCGGCCGACGCCGACATATCGATTATCGAAGGGTGAGCAGAACCCCAGCTATCCATCCGTCCATCCATTCGTTCGCTCGCCCCTCAAAGATATCCTCGTCCTAGTCACCCGCACGATCGCCTCATCTCTGACGCTACCTTGTTGTGCCCTTCGACTCCTCGATCCCTCAGCGTCATGGGGCTCTTTGACGGCAGAGACGGCAAGACAGAAACCGGCAGCACCGCGGAGGTGAGAGAATTGCCATCGACCACCTCCCTTGAGCCATCTTCATCTTGCCTGCACCCTTGATTCCGATCGCCCCGGCCGTGCTTTGGCAGAGCAGCAGGCCTTGATCTATCTCCCTGCCCCGACCAATGCATCGCCCGGAATCGATCCGACCGCCGCCTTCTTGATCCCTGACGGAAATGCGCAATTTCTCCGAATCCTTCTGAACTCGAACAGATGGCCAAATGGCTCGGGGCTCCGGTCGTCCTCGTCTTGGACTGCTGGGCACTGTCGAGATCGGTGGCGGCGTTTGTCAAAGGATTCGCCGAGTTTGATCCAGAGCTCAACCTGGCCGGTGTTGTCCTGAACAGAACCGGAGGTATGTCTTGCATTGGAGCCCCGGCTCAATATGAGTATAGCTGCGACAAACCGCCGTTGCGGTGAACCAAGTCACTGGCAGCCGAGTGCCGAGTGCCGAGTGAATCGAGGCACCGTTGGCACATTTGTCTCATTTCTCGCCTTCTGGCAGGCGACATCCACACAACATGGCTCAAGGACGCTATCCACACATACGACCCTGCAGTCCATGTATTCGGAGGAATTCCCCGAGAAAGCAGAGTGCAGATTCCTGAGCGACACCTCGGTAAGTGAGCACACCCTCCCACCAAGCGACCACCAGAGCAACCTATGCCCGACATTCCTCTGACGATGTCCATCGCCTGCTCTAGGACTCCATCTGCCCACTGATTTCCAAAGCACCGAGTACATCAACAAGCTCGGCGATCTCATCGAAAAGCATCTAGATCTGGACCAGTTGCTTGAGGTGTCGGTACTCCCCGATCTCGACTTGGTAGCTGAGATCGAGCACCCCTTGGCCGGGTCGCTGGCACCGGTCCGTATTGGTGTGGCCAAGGACGAAGCATTCTGGTGAGACGCTTTCCCAGTCATTGGATAGCAGCGTAAGCACACGAGCACGGGCAGCACTATCCCAAACTGACCGTCGTATTGGTGCATCAGCTTCTATTATCAGGACAATATCTCGCTGCTAGCCCGCTATGGTGCCACCATTGTCTTCTTTTCGCCAATCCACGATGCTTGTCTTCCCACGGATATCGATGGGCTGTACTTTGGCGGCGGCTATCCCGAGCTGCATGCCAAGCAGCTCTCCGATAACCACGCCATCCTCGAGGCCGTCAAAACTTTCCCTGGATGCATCTATGGGGAATGCGGAGGGCTCATGTATCTTGCCAAGACTCTTTCGTGTCCAACAGATATGGCCCATCCCACCGAAACAGATCGGGCTACTTATCCAATGTCCGGAGTTTGGAACGGAGCCGTCGCCATGACCAAGAAGATGGAGATGTCATATGTTCAGGTTACCTCGAAGAGCCCCTTATTCGGGGTTGGAGAACAGGCTCGCGGGCATGTCTTCCATTTCTCGAGCGTCATCGAAAACAACGAACCCGAGCACGCCTTTTCGATGGAAATGCAGCGCCCCGGATCCACCCCGGTCCTTGCTGGCATCCAAGTCGCCGACCGTGTTGTAGCAAGCTACGTACACCTCCATTGGGGGAGCAATCCCGTTTTTGCCCGGAATTTTGTTGCCCAATGCCACATCGTCAAGCTGCGCCCGGGCAGCCCTGACGAGCCGCAGGTGGAACTCCTGCCGCACGAGGCCCCCACAGCATGATCCATGCAAATGCGTAATGATCCGCAGCACGCAACTTATGCGAGACATATCCAACACGGTTTCTCACCCTTTGTATTTGACCTTGCCTCCAACCTCCCGTCTTGCCACCTTGGTTCGCCGTTTGCGTATGTTGAAACCATTGCACTTGCCCCAATGGCTGGATATCTCCACTGCACTCGTGGAAACCTTCCCGCTCCCCCGGCGCACTTAATTTCTGTAGCACGAACAAATATGCATACCCTCGGCAAAGTCAGATCAAACCATTTGCTCGTTTCTGCCAAGCGGCACGGAGGTACGGTTGTTTGACTCATACTGTATCGGATATTGTGATAGTGTATACTCGCTTACCGATAGCTGGCCAGCAACTTGATGTTTTGTTACGAGCTGCTTGCGCGCCATTGCTTTGGTCTCGAGTCGAAACTGTCCCCCGCGGTTGTCTGATCCCAATCCTCGTCTCTGGGCTCGCGGTTGTATTTCATGGCCCCACTTATTGACGAACCGATGCCTCCAAGATCTGCATTGCCCTTGGATTGGCGGACCGGCTCATCGGCATCACATCTCTCTGTGACTTTCCTCCGGGTTTGATCGAAAACACCTATGATAGCGTCACTCGCCATCTGGTGTCGCGCTCGCTGATCGATACCTCCATAATGACGAGCCAAGAGGTGGAACGTGTCATGCAAGAGTACATGAAGGCTGGCCGTTCGACCTTTGAGATTGACCGGCACTGGCTCGGACAAGCCCAGCCCGGAATAATCCTGACTCAAGACTTGTGTCTGGCCTGTGATGCAAATGCAAAGTGAGCCTCTACTCCAATACGCACTTGGTTCCAGCGTCCTGCACCAGCTCTCTGATAGTCGGCCAAGAAAATAACACAGCAATACGTCCGTGGAAACTTTGGCTACCTCAGGGATGTTTGTTCTGCAATTCATTGCAATAGCTGCGCAAAGGCCCTGATTCTGAATCCCCGGACAATCCAAGGCATCATGGATACCGTTATGGATATCGGGCGAGCTGCCGATGCACACGACGCCGCCAACACCTTGGTTCTCGAAATGAAGGATCGCCTGCAACGTATCCGCGACCTGGTGAGCGCGAAACCACGGCTTAAAGTCATTTCCCTCGAAGGCGTGAATCCTCTCGTCGGCGGAGGACACTGGGTAAGTGAACACACAAGTTCCGGTTCATCAGCCGAGGCAAAGAAACCATAGTGGCCGGGCAGCAGGACCCGGTGACTCAAGGAAAATCGGTTGTATCACAATCAGCATCAATGTCCATCAAGTAATATCAAGCGGCCGTCGGAGATAGAGCGTCGGAGAGGGACTCGAGCATCACTGAACTCACCCGCGCTCATCTGGAGCGAACAAAACCAGCTCAAGAGCTGCGCCGAGCGATTCTAATCCGAGTGGTCGCATCACCTTCCCTCCTGTCTTGCCTCTCATTTCTTCTCTCCTTTACATCCATAGATTCCGGAGATGAAGATCTGGGCCGGTGGATACGATCCGCTCTTTGAGCCAGGCTGCAACGCGCGCAAGCTGGAATGGAAGGATATTGTCAGCGCCAACCCAGAGGTCTTGATCCTGTGTCCGTGTTCGCGGTATGCCCATGCACTGTCCCCAGTTGAGTGGAGTGCTGGATTTAAGGCTCGTCTTGGGAGCTGTGATGTCGTCTCGACTAATGCAGGGACCTGGGTTTATGCACCTCTTGCCCACCCTTCAACATCGGTCGCTACGTCTCATGATTCGCTCCAGCAACCCGCGCTCGACTTTGGACGACACCGCGCACTTTCCATCCCTGCCGGAATTTACCCGCCTGGACTTTTTTAGGCGTGGCAATCTCTTCCTCGTCGACCATGCAATCTATTCGCGTCCTGGACCAAGAGTCGTCGATGGCATCGCCGCACTTGCATTCATACTCCATGGCGTCGAAGTCGATATCCGGACACCCGTCCATATCATGCGGCTGAAGCAAAGTGTCGTCGAAGCTGTTTTGACAGGCAGTGCCGATGCCATGGGCAGCTGGCGGGATTGGTTTGAGGATTTGCGTGTTGGTAGTCTCTGACGCTTTCGCTTATCACAAAAGGACAGCGTCTGAGTAGCCGTCAGTCGTTGTCGAAATGGGCTGCGCTTGAAACGATAGCTCTGTCACCGATATTTTCCAAGCAAATAGCCTCTGGATATAGCAGCTTCGACCCGAATAATCCGGATGTCTGGTGGCTGCTTGTAGGATTGCAACCACGGCGTTCAATCCATGGCAGTCATAAAGGTTGATCGAGCGGCATTTGATCCAGAGTTGGCGAGATCACCTCCGGCTCGGCGCACTGACGGCATCAACGACACGGAAGTGGACAAGTGCCATCTTGACTAATCTGTATAGACACCGTGGCGTTGGGATTGGATCTTGGGCCCGCATCAAGTATCATCCATTCGCGGCACCGAGCTATCTATCCTGCCAAGATTTCCTCATTTTGCCCCAGTGTCGCTGAAACACATGTCATCGGTTGTTGGGAGCGGCAACAACGGGAACGGATCACAAAAGCGTTGCTTCTGAGCGTCACTCACCATTCCACATAATCAACCCCGAATATCCCCGTTCTATATTGCTATTTCGAGGTGAAGATCCATAATTTATGCCCCGACCTTGCTCCTTCCCCTCCCGAGATGACCTGGCACCGACTTCACCAGCCTTGTTCTGAGCACGGGGTCAGTTGCCGACAGACGCTCCACACGCTCATCGGCCCAATATGCCCACGCTGCTAGACAAGTTGAAGAGCGATTTTGCCCATGGCAATCGCCAGGATGCTGTCCAGTTTCCCCTTTTCGTCTTCGTTGCCGGTTCCCTGGGTCGTCTTTCGAAGGTTTGGGGAGAGTTTGAGCGAGATGACTGTTCCGTGGTCATCGCCCACAAGAAGAATGGGCTCAAATGGGTTGAAGGATATGTGTGTCAGCTTTGCCTTACGAGCGACTTGCTGCTCGCAGATCGGCTGGTACTTGTTTTCGTTGAGGTCAAACACATACACCTGGGTGGGAGAGGAATCAAATGTTAGTTCGATGGTCGTCTCTGCTGGTCGCGACGAAATGAACCGCTTATCGCGTTCCTGGCCTTCGTTACCAAAGTGGCAGAGTCAAGAAACCGCTAAGCACAGGCACCAGTTCACAGCAGATACCTTTCCATCAGACGTAGCAGCAGCAAAGACCGTAGAGGAGTACGGCGCCCAGGCAACATCTCCCACAGAGCTATTCAGGTCGAAGGTGAGCACGGGCTTTTCTTGGTCGTGATCCCAGAGCTTGACCGTCCAATCGGCGCTGGCGGACAGGAAAACGCTTGGGTGGAAGCGGTTGTATCGAACCGTGTACACGGCCATTTGGTGACCCTATGCGGGTCGTTGAATAATACGAACAGAACGGATCGGGATGAGAACGTAGCCGTGACGTACAAGCATCAATGTGGGATCGCACAGTGCTGCCTGCGGACTCAACGAGCTCCTACTCTCTCTATACAAAGTTGTCCTAGGTCACATGCGCTGCCGAGTCCATGCGCTTGTGGACAAGTGTAACCATTACCTCAAACGAGAGAAGGTACTGATTATTGTAAGACTTTGAGCACTTGTGAATCTTGCCTTCCTCGGTGCCAACAACAAACAGATGGTCAACCGTTTTGTGGAAGTCGAAGCAGAATCCACCAGCGAGATTGAATACGATGCTTTCCGGGTTCGGCGGCTCGACAACGGGCTCGGACAAATCGTAACGAAGGGCGATGATATCCTGAGAGTGAAACGAGCTGATGTCAGTTCAGCACCAAGAGGGAGATCCAATCGATCGTCTCGTGGATATGTGACCCAAGAGCCCATCTGGCATTGAGCATTCAGTTATGCTCCACTGACGGCGTGAATGATTGTCCAGCCTCCCATATCGATAAATATCATGAATGTCATGAATGTCCATCACAGATGGTCACTCGCACCCACCGTGTGCATCAATTCGCTCTTGAGGAGCGTCCATTGTGTGACTCGACCGTCGGACGAGATCGAGAAGAAATTGGCATTGTCGTCAAGGTCATCTTTTTGCCAGCACACCTGAGCGAGAAGAACGTGTCGTGGCCGCATCAAAACAAGTCACGTAAGCCTTTCTATATATCGCCAGAAATCTCGACTTCCCTCGTGCCGTTGCTGATACAGCTCAATCGATGACCTCACCTGCCAAACAGGGTCGGTGTGTTTGCCGCCTTTTGAGTTTGACTTGTAAATGGGGCTGTCCATCTTTTTCTGCATATTGAAAACCGAGACTGTTCCGTCATAGAGTCCAACGGCAATCATGGACGGATGCTAGAGTTGCGGTTCAGGCATTTGTGCCAGTGATGAGTCAGAGCAGGTGAATTACCAAGCGGAACCATTGAGATCGAGAGAGGGGTGAGCATTTCGCACGTTTTGGGAGGAAGGGAGAGCCCAACATGTGGTTACATGCACCAACTGGCTGCTTGCACAGGCCCATAGATCGGCAAATGGCGCATCCCCCATAAGCCACAAATCAAAGCCAGACTTTAGTGCAGCGGCTTGCAACGCCCATTATATACCTGAGGGTGGAAGTCGAGACACATGACGCCCGACTCGGTGACATACAGATACTCTGGATACGATGGATTCTTGAGCGTGAAGCAGGCAATAATCCCTGGGCCCTGCTTGCAAAAATCGTACGAGCCGTATCCAACCGCAAATAAGTCCGGATTGGCTGGGTTCCAGCACAGAGTGGTGACTTGTTTCTTCTTGTCCTTCTCACAGATGAACGTCCAAAGCGGGAGGAGCGTGCCAGCTGTGGAGATGCAGGTCGATTAGTGCTGTGGCGCTGTCCCAGGGTGCACATCGAACTCCATTCCCACTATGGATGCAGCGAAAGGAACGGATTGATACACTTGCGATCGCCGAGCTCGTCAGAGGCATCTTCCCAGTACTTGTAGTCCTGGGATATATCATCAAAGGTGTTCTGGTTGGCCATGCGCTCGACGATAGTGAATGCCTTGCGCAGCTCCTGATTCTTGAAGTACACGTCTTCTCCGTGGTTCTCCGAGGCCAAGAGTCCTGTTTTTTCGTCGTCCTTGTGTCCCTTTCCACTCACACCGGATGTCTGTTGGTGCGAACAGGTCCCAAGGATGCGTTAGCCAGGGTCAGGGAATTCCCGTGATGTCCTCGGCTCCATGATCCGTCGCACGCATCAACACCTTGGACTTATCCTTGAGGGCCTTTTCTTTCTGCTGAAGATCGTCCATATAGGCGTCGTATATGGACCATTGGTTGACAGTGTCGGAGAATGTTCGTGCTGGTGGGGGCTCGGTGTTAGTTGCACGCTCCTACATCACCAGGCGAACATATGCATTAGTGGCTGAACGCAGTACGATTCACAAGCTGGCCCAGATCATGAGCAACTTCCATCGGAGATGCCATACCCTGAACGGATTGTTTGTGGTTTGACTGGCACGCTCGCTGAAGTTGAACTGGTTGCGCAAAAGACCCTTGGGCTTCTTGTCGCCGTCGGCGGTGGCAGGCTGGGGTGCCTCACCCCCTTCGGCTGGTGGATTCTCGGGGTTAGTGCCCTCCTCAGTCTTCTCGCCATTTTCGCCGCTGGCGAGCGAGGCAAGTGTTACGCCTTGGGCTTCGTCAGCGTTCTTGTATACCAGATAACTATCGCACGCGGCAGTTCGGGAAAATATGGCGCGATTCGATCAATAAGTCGTATGTACAGGCTGCTACATCGCGCCACAACAGCGTAAATGAAGGAATTTGATCGCAATCGATCCATCCAGTGCAGCCAACGGAACTCGGCTATGAACGGTGCTCAGGATGTGACTCGGGTCGTTTCATGGAACCCTAGCCGATAGTCTGCTTCTCGCTCGGACTTTGTCTACGCTTTTGTCTCGACATACCCGTCAAACTCCAAATGCGTCACAAGATGGTCAACGTTCGGGCTCACTTTGAAGATTGACTCCTTGTGGTTGTAGCGCGCAATGTTTTGAGGGGCATGGGGGTTGTTTGCATTCAGGATGCGTGTGAACTCCTCCTCAAGCTCCTTCTCTGTTAGCTGCAGTTGTCCCGGAGGCTTCAGCAGGACCTTGGGCTGGGTGGCACGCGAGATTAAAATCAAGACGTCCAAAAAGATAGGAGCATCTCAGCCAGGAATCCGGGGCGAGCGCAAGGCTTTGAGTGTCATACGAGCTTATGCTGGGAAGATCATCCATCCCGAGTCACAGCCAACGTACCGGCAGCCAGTCGTCTGCCCCCGCGCCGCTCGGAGCCTCTGTGGCCCCCTCTCCTCTGTCGGACTTGAGTGAATGGGTCGACAGGGCTCGGCCCGAGAGCTGATTTTGCTCAGTAACCTGGAGGAGCCACGAGATACAGAAGGGGTAAGCATGCAGAATGAACGAATTACGCGGCCGCTGGGTGTTCGACGCGGCCAGTGGTGAAACCGTATGGTGAAGAGCAATGCGAACGTTCAACTACTACGGATTTGATCGAGAGGAGTCGACTCTGGTCAAGCATTATTGATAGTAGCCCGTGCGTCCCACTATGACAGGCGATCGGGGTTGGCTACCTTGGCCTTTCTCGTCGATCTCATGTCTTTGGAGCTGTTGGATATGCGGTCGAGAGCAGATGCGAGGAACGGGGGTGCCTTGGCGCGAAGGGATTCGTCCAGACGATGGCGGACAGATTTCTTGATTCAGCAATCGGCCAGGCTCCAACGGCGGCGGCAGCAGCGGAAGGTTTTCTCCCGCTTCCACAGGGGCGACGACCAGTTGATTGGCAGTGCATGCCGCCTTTCGCAGCAGGACCAAGACACCCGATATCTACTGCCCATTTTACAGCCAATCGAGACACCCCGGATTTTGGTCGTTGACAGAATATGTTTTCACTCAAAACATCGCGTGCTGGCCATGACCATTCAGTGGTGTGTTTCTGGGTCTGAATCAAGGACGCTTTCTCGCTCAGATGGTCCCCCGCAAGCGAAAGGCCACCACCCAGGCGACGGCTACTCAAGTTAGTATGGAACTATCCAGAGGGTCGAGTGGATACACCGCACAAAGAGATTGCCAACCAGGACGGGAAACAATCGCATGGCTTGCTCACTGGAGCCTGATGCCAGAACGTAACTGTCCCGTTTCTCTCTGGATTGGCTGTAGCCGAGTATGATATAATATGAACCGTCTGCGATGTGTTTTATCCAAACGAGCTGATGTGAACCATTATCTTTTCAACACGCTGTATGCCATGCTTTCCATGATGAGCTTGTCAACAACCGGCGATGGCAATTATGATGACACCGGATGCACGCCAAGTCGCTGACGGGCACCACCCATGCGCATGCGATCTATTCTGGAACTGAAAGTGAATGGACACAATATTAACTATTCTGACACACGTCCCCTTGATTCCGGGAGTGCTGTGCCGTGTTGTCCAGTGTTTCGCTCTCTCGGGTGTCGAGACAAGCACCTCAACCCAACCGAGATTGATGAACCAAGTGCGTAGATTTATGCCCTGGGCAACCACACTCCAGGGGAGGGCCGCTGTCTTCATTCATAGTAGCAGCCGAATACCATCGCAACGGCAAAGAGTGTGGCCTGAGCGCAATCATATGCAAAATGGGAATGGCACGTCAGTGAGTGGCTTACTGACCACAAGTCCCAACAAAATAGACCATCGGCGTCAAGTCGTGGCTGGGCAGAGACAAATCGTTCGCCCAAGTAAGCGACACGGATACTTTACGTTGCGGAACGAGGCGGATGCATACGAGTCTGTTGTCGCATCCCAGACTGCTCTGGAGGCAACACGGATGCCTTGACCCTTGAACTCGCCGATGGTGACATCGACGACAAATTTGTAGCGTTCAAACTCGAGCTCTGCTTGCAGCACCATTCGGAAAGCAGTCAGATGCAATCGAGGCGGTGCGACGGCTCCAACATGGCCAAACCCGGCGAACCTGTGTTCTTGAGCTGCTCGCTCACCCGCTTCTTCTAAACAAGCAAGATACTGCCCTTTACCACCACCACGACTCTCACTTACTTTTCACGGAAACAAGGATCTCGTTGGCGATTGATTTGCACAGCTCCGGCACCTTGTCGGGACTGTACTTGACTTTGGTGAGTTGCTTGGTCAGTTGCTCGGCGGCGATCTTTCGGACAAGCTCTGTTCCGAACCTATCGGCGCCAGCGGTCGCAGATACATTAGTCTGGTGCAGTCAAGCTCAAAGAGAGCAGGAACAGGAGCCTCGACTCGACTCGCCTCGGCTCGACTCGACCCCGCCCCACCAACCGTCGAACATCCAGTCCGGTCATGCAACGATCCAACGACGCGTCCTGCAATGGCTTTCCGACTCGCAGCAACTGCCTCCCTAAGACACACGCAGACGCACAGGCGGTCGGGCTTCAGCTTGTAAGTGTTTTCGTAGACGATGGCATTCGTGGGCGGAGCAGCTTCGCCCGGGGCTGGCTGTGAAGGCCCCGCGGGAGGAGGTGCAGCCTTGTTCAGTATCCGAACCGATCCCTTGCGGCTGAGCGTCCCGGCCAGATTCGCCTGGGAACCTCGCTCGCGTGAAGAGGCGGTAGCACCCTGGTTGTCGGTATTGGCTGTGCCGGGTGCGTTGGGACTGGTGGATTCTTCTTGCTTGGAGTTGGCCGTGCTGGGCGGGGATGCCACTTCACCGCTCATGATGGATGAATGGGTGGGTGGATTGCGGCAGATGAGTGGACGGGTGTGTCGGTTGGCACCGATGGAGAGGAGCTTTCGTTCGATCAAAGGGCGATGGCTCGGTTGAAGCACAGGCAAGGACAGCAGACGATCGAGGCAACGACCCGCTCTTGCTGGGGAGACGAGCAAAGAGTCTTTGGCCGCTGAGGATTCGCGGGATGCTCTCCTCCGGCAAGGTTGGCCCTCGTTTGGCGCCCTTTCTGGTCGGTACTCCAGGCCATCAGCGTCGCAGCGATGCTGTACACTTTATTCAGAAAAAAACGGGACAACATAGTCGTTTCCATGAACATGTAGTATGTGCTGTGCTTGCGTCAAGCAAAGCCACAAGAAATAAAACAGATCACTTTGGCAGCCTCCGAGTGAAGACCGCCGGTCGCTCTCCGATCTCCACAATCGACCTGCACACTATGATCATGTTGCGCGCCGCATTGACGCCGCGATTCCACACTGTCCGGCAGCTGGGATTCTTGCAGCTCCTGACAAAGTGGGAATTCGCAACACTGGGCGCATCGAGTCCTTCCAACCGAACTGGCTCCAGGCACTTGGAGCACACTTGCGAGGTGTTGAACTCGTTCGTCGAGACTACCTTGACGCTTCCATGATGGTGATTGGGACGGCGTCGGTGGTGCTCGAATTGCTCAAAGTACCGAGCAAACCGCTGCCTCCGAGGGCTGGATGCATAGCCCTTGCCTTGTCGCCATGACGCATTGCCAAAGGCGATCACCACATCGGTCCGTATCGGGGCGTGCTTCAGGACGGCCTTGCACATCTTGTCAACGGCCACTTGGCGCCTCTTGTGGCCCGTGAAGCGATGGTGACGGGCCTTCTTGCCAAGGTGGAAGTCGAGCTGCACTCGCAGCTCCGGTCGCAGGACATGGGTGAGATGGACCTTGAAGGCCTCCGAGGACGACACCTTGGGCGAGGGGGTGGTCGACATCCAGGTCTCGATGCTGAGTCGCTTCTTCATGGTATTGTGCCACTTGGTATTGGACGTATGGCCACACATTTGCTGGTAGTGGCCATTGGAGAACGAGACCACCTCGTCTTGGTGGCCCGGTGCTTGGATGGCCGCCGTGAAGATGGAGCCGACTCCAGGATCGATGCCAATCCAAGTGGTGCGATCGGGGTCTGGGTCACCGATGTGGGCCTGGATGCGCTGCTCGGCAGTCGGAGGAGGCTCGATGGTCTCGGTGTGATCGGTTCGACGCACAAACTTGACGAGGCCGATGGTGCATCCAATGCCATCGGTGCTGATCTCGTAGTTGAACAGCTTCTTGTTCACGTCCCGCTCTTGGAAGAGGGAACTACGCAGCTTGAAGCAACTGCGCCAGAGACCATCCTGGTTGTTGATGCCGTCATCACCTTCTTCCTTGAGCATGTCCCTGGTGAGTCCAAGGCGCTTCTTTGGACCCAGGAGTTGCCAAAGAGTGACCGTATCAATCTTGATGTACTTGGCCTTGGTGGTGCATAGAGGAACCATCGTGCACACGGCCGGAGGAGTGTCGAGAGCGAGCTGCTTGAGTGCCCAGTTGAGTCGGGCGGCCAGCTTGTTGATCTTGGACTTGGTGGTGCCGAGCTCCGACTTGGCGTTGGTGAACCTCTTGTCGTCGGAGGGAATGCCTTGGGTAGTGAGCTTGTCCAGCTTGGCCTGGCGCTGCAGCTCGGTGACTCGGAGGGCGGGCATGTCATGGTCGATCCACTTGTGGACATTGTCGACCATCTTGTCCCGGGCGAGGATTCTCACATGGTGTGAGAGGCGATGGAGGGCCCGGAAGCGGTCCTGGTCGCTGCTGTACCGAAACTCGTCCAGGACGTGGCCAAAGTCCGGGTAGAGGAACTCGATATCGGCCTTGGGTGGAGTCTGCCCTGGTTTCTCGAAGAGTTCGAGACAGGCCTCGATGGCTTCGTGCTTGTGCTTGTTGGCTGGGAAGACGGCAGCGCAGAAGCGGCGAAGGAGTCGCCAGTAGGCCAGGTTGAGGTGGGTGGTGCAGTTGGTGGCATAGGCATTGACAGCGAGAGTGAGAAGCTGACTGTGAGCACCATCAGGCAGACGAGGGGCCGGAGGCAGGTCTGCGTGCCGAGTGGTCTGGTAGTCGCGAAAGGAAGCGACCAGATGCTCGTTGTACTGCTCGATGTCCCCGGTCGGGGAGAGGGCATCGGCCTCGACGATCGTGAAGCATTGGCGGATGAAAGCAGGGGTGGCCTTGGAGATGACGGGGATGGGAAGATCCTGCTCGATGCACCGGAGGATGTGCAGGTTGAGCAGCCTGGATGCCTCGAACTCGATCTGGGTCATGGCCTCGACGGTGGCCTGGATCTGGGTCATGGCCTCGACGGTGGCCTGGATCTTGTCGCGGAGAGCGGGATTGAGACAACAGCCATCCATCGTCTGCTTGAAGCAGCTGAACTGAGGGGCGGATGACCTTCCACCCACGAGTGGGACGACAGAACTCTTGAGGGGCCGGTATTTGGGACATTTGCTGGTGTTGCTTCGCTGATGATCGGTGCCATCGCACTGGCGACATCGCTTGATGGGACCAGATGAGGGACCAGATGAGGGACCAGATGAGGGACCAGGCTCGGTGGGATCGACATCCATTGGATCTGCAGAAGCAGTGGTGGTGAGCGACGGAGCAACAGACGACCAAGCATGCGTGGGGTCAGAATACGAACCAGAGACAGGCTCCGACTGTGACTTGGCTTTCTTGGGCCTGGTAGGCTGAGGCTGGCCATCACCGGCACCCTTGCGCTTCGGAGGCATGGGGACAGAGAATGCTGGATGCCTGCCAGTGGTACTGGTCAGAGCAGAGACTTTTTTTATCGTACAATGGCGCGATGATCCGATCAAGGCGAGATGAGGGAAGAAAGCAGCAGGACGAAGGTGTGGCATTTATACCCGAGAGCAGGAACCCGTCTTTGCGGGCTGGTTGGGAAGCGACCCTGTTCAAAAATCGCCGAGAGGTTCAAGCCAGGGATGTGAACGCGAAAATGGCGGCTTGATTGGAGGGAACTCAACCCCAGAAGCGCATCGCTCGCTCAATCAGCCGTGGGAAGACATCTGGAAGCACCCTCCGCACGGCGGACTCGAACAGGGTCACCATCCCGACCCTGAACCCCTCGGAGGCATTCAGCGCTGCTGCCTTCCTGTACTGATGCTTCACAACCCCAAAGAAGTTCTCGATGGGATTGAAGTCGGGCGAGGCAGGTGGGGTGAAGATCACTGACCATCCTCGGCGCTCGATGCAGTCCAGGACAGCCCTTGTCTTGTGCATGCTGACATTGTCCATCACAATCACAGAGTCGTCTGGGAAGGTCGCTCGCTCAAAGAACTCGACCATCGAGTGTGTCTTGAATGATGTGGGGATGTACATGCGATGCAGCACACCAGAGTGGTTGATGGCAAATGCAGCCGAGACAGACTTGTGCTTCATGTTGTGGCGCCTCTGCAGTCGGGCACCTCTCTCAGAGTACCCATGGAGGGGGAAAATGGATTTCCTGATCCCCGTCTCATCGACAAAAACGAATCGCCGCGGGTCGATGGAGCGGACCTGGTCCCTGAACTGTGCCACTCGCTCATCCAGTCGCTTGGACTTGTAGAGGTGTGTTGCCCTCTTGTGTGAGAGACCTGCTCGGTGGATGGCAGTGTGGCAGAGTGAGAGCGACACTTTCCTCTGGAGGATGGACTCGAGCTTGCATCGCAACACAGGACCAGTCTGGAACGGGTCCTGTTCAATCAGGGTGCGAATGACTGGACATGCCTGCTCGAAGAAAGTGGATCTGCGAGCTGGGACCCGGGATGGGTCATCCAGCTTGCATCCTCGGTGCCATCGATGGATGGTGCTCTTGGACACACTGAATATGGAGGCAACTTTACGCAGGCTATGGATGAGGGTGTAGCATCGCAATGCGGCGGTGCGAAAGTCGGATGTGTGGCGAATGGTCATGGCCAGCCCGCGATAACATTGGGTAACAAAATATTCGATGAATGGTCAAAAACCCGGGTGTCCCGTTTTTTATTGGATTGCCTGTAATAGCGGATCGGCGCAAGACGTAGTCATGGGGGCTCTCGGGCATGCTGGATAGTGCCGTCCCAGGGCCATGTAGCCCTGCTGATGCCAGCATCAGGACCCAGCCGCTGTTCGCAGTCCTGGCGATCCAGCCGGTGCCGATACGACGGGCTCCATAAGCCGCCTTGGATCGTCCCGCGCTCGAAAGGTCGGCTGCGTCCTGCTTGGTCTCTGATCTCTCCTCCTCGGGCTCGTTCCGCCTGATCGACGACACTCGCCCAGTCGCCAGGCCTCAAATCAACATCAACATCAACATCGTCAGCAGCAGCATCAAAACACCCCGGCAGTCCCATCGCAACCGCCACATCACAGCCATGCCCAGCTCCTCAACGGCGACCGGCTCATCGCCTCGCAAGACCGAGACAACCATCCGGCGCCTTGCCGAGAAGGTCTTCTGGATAGCAGCAGCGCTCGTACTGGGATACTACACCGAGCTACCGAATGCGCTGCTCGAATATGGATATGGGTGAGCATCCACTGGCCCATGGACTAGATCGCAAGGTGCTACCCAGATGCCGGGCAGCACCTGCAGACGGCGTGTGAGCCCTGTTTCGATTTGCACCAGCCCGTCTGCTTCGATCAAAGCCGAGGCACCTGCCCCTCGGCCCATGATCGCCCGAGAGCCTGCCAAACCACTCGCTAACTTTGATCCCGTACAGCTGGCCGATCTACGTTTCCATGCTGTGCCTCACTGGCATCGGTGGCATCTTTGCCTACCTTACCTTCTACCTCCCCTATTTCACCCTCGACCGAACCCGGATCAACCTGAGCAACTGGGAGAGGGAGGCCCCGAGGTCGATCCAAACAGCAACGGTGCTGGGACTCACGTTGACCGTCTGTGTCAACGTCTGGCTCTGGCCAGCATTTGGCATCCTGACGCCCGTCATTCTCTTTGTGGAATTTCTGGGGTTTATATGCCTCCTCGCCATGTTCTGAGACAAATGGATCCTGGCAGCAACAGGCTGCCGTAGCCAGTGCAGCGCCGGGTCATATCGGATCATAGAAGGCGGTCGTCAGACCTGGCGGCCGAGCATGATACTCCAAAGGGGCTGGGCCATCTCGTTTGTGGCAAGGGCGGTCGCTCCATTCCATATCGTGAATATACATGGCGACCCTGTGGAGTCGGCACCACTTCTCAATGTCACCGCATAGCTAGAGCCTTTGCAAATGTGCTTTGGTCTTGATTGCACCCAGAGCACTACCCACGACGAACAACGCTCGCCCCGAGCGCAGCACCCTCCTCGGCAACAATCTGGTCGTCCTGGGCAAAGATGCCCCAAAGGCGAGGCAAGGGAGGCACGAGCAATCGCTCATTGCGACGGGTGCTTTATTCCGGTGGCGTCAAGACCCGCAGAATATCGGTCAGAGACACCTGAATGAGACGACAGTAGCGGAGAAGGGAAGGAAGAGGATTTCGCAAAGAAGAGGATTTTGCAAGGGTTAGTCCACGGCATCGCGGGTTTGTTTTGGTGGCCATCGCGGCCATCGCATCACCACAGTCCGGGCCACATGGGAAGGCACGCTCGAGCTGCATGTGGAAATCGATGGGGTGGCGGCAAATGCAGGGCACAATGCCGCTTGTCCAGGAGGTCAACCTACAACAGAGACGACGTGGTTGTGGGTCTTTTCGACGACCCAGACCCGGTGGGCGCGCGTCGAGATCAGCTTGCCAATGGTATGTTCGAGTGTGGAGGATTCCGTGACATCAAAGACAGGGGTCTTGTCCTGGAGTATCAAACCAATCCGAAATTCCGGCAAACAGATATGTGAGACGTGAGCAGAGCTCGCCCAGTAGCAGACAACAGTGCGTTGTGCGCGCGCAAATTCATCGAGATGGGAATATGACGCATACTCGACCGTCGGCAATGCCCTAAAATAGACCACGAGCTGGGATTAGTACTGATCTATGGTGTGCTGTCGACATGCACCAAGGGAGCACTGCTGCGTCAAAGCAAGAGAGCAACTCCAAGCCGACGGCCACCCGGTTCACTCCGCCAATCGTCCGAGAGGCCGGTATACATGCAAACGATCTGGAACGAGGACACCCGCGCGCCTCTCGAGCCAGAAGGAGAAAGGGAGCCAAGAAGAGAGCGGGTGGTACAGCAGCCTACCTGCTGTTGATCCACAAAGCTGACAAACTTGATGCAGCTTTCCCAGAGCATCGGGAAACGCTCCGCTCGCATCAGCCACTTGATGTCGGTCATCGACAGATTGGCAACAATAGCGCCGCGGGGGTTCAGGATGGCGACCGAGGAAATATCGCTGTTGACTGTGGTGGCGAAGTAATTGTGGATGATCAGAGAAAGATACTCAGCAAATGACACGAACGCTATCGAACCGGATTGTTGCTGGGGGGGCAATGGGGAGTTTCCGAGGATGGACACTATGCTCGAGCTTGCATCGGCACCCGCGGGCAGCTTAAAGACGAGCACGCGCAATCTTACCCATGATTCGAAGGGCCTCGATAACAGACAGGTCGGCAGGAACCGATATCACAGTCTTGGCGCCCAAGCCAAGCTCCTTAAGCTATAAATGGAAGATCAATGAGACAGACGTCAGTGTCATGACAGCTTACCAACTGGCTTGCTTGTATGCTGGTGAGGGACTTACTGTCTTTTTGAAGATTTGCTGGAGCTCAGCGTATTTGCTGGCCTGGAAAGAGCCACACCAGGGTCAATTTGAATATGCGGCGCGCATTCCGAATCATCACTCAACGCCGGCGGCAGAGAGTCGGCGCAGACTTACATTGTTCCACAGGTACTTCAAGAGTGTACTTTGTGAAATGATGCCCTAATCGATATTGACCGAGGCGGTGTGGGAATGCAGGTTGTAGTGAGAGCCGGGGAGAGCACATCATTGGGCATTGATGAGATATCGGACATTTGCCGCTGTTGACAGGCGAGTAATCCGGTATCGTTCACGACCTTGCCGTCCTGGTAATGCTTCATAGGACAAGTCTACATTGATTCCACTAAAGACACTTACTGCAAGACCATCGCTCATAACGGCAACACGATGGACACCCTTTCCAAAGACATCCACCTTTGCCACGATTGATGCGTGGAGGGCGATATTCCGAAAGTTGTCGGTATGAGAGGCAAGGCAAATCCGCCAATAGCCATATGATGATAGGGTAGTAGGAAGTTGTGCAATGGACGATGAGAATACATCCGCAGCACCAAACAGCTCCCAAGCAAAGGAGCCTTTCTGGATCCACCTCTGGATTCACTTTTGGACCAGTGCTCGATCAACGAGAGCTGAAGGGACATCCCGATCCCCGCTCCATCGGCGCACGACCACTACCAGTTGTGAGAGAGGGGTTTCCCCCATGACGGAGAAAAACGGGTTCTTCTGTGATAGATCTTGAGCGATGGTTCGGTTGTGGGAAGGGTTTGACAAGAATCGATTCGAGTTGTATAATCCGGCGAACGTGTGGAATAGAACATGTATGAAACGTCAGTAACACTGCTCAGGCAGCCGGGCATCGATTCAAAGGTCCAGGAACATGAGTCCGGCTGTATCAGCATCCCAGGAGGCGTGTCCGTCACCGTCTGCCGTGGGAGTGTCCAGTTGAACAGAGCGGCACAGTCGATAGCATTGCCAACCATGGGATATAATGGACATTCGAAGCGAGAAGGGTGCGTCCACACACCAGCGGCCAGTTTGGCGGGAATGGGCTTTTGGGCTCGGGCAAGACGGAGAAGCTCCTGGAACTCGTACGACTCGTTATCGGGGTTGATTTCGCGCTTGAGCGAGAGGAGAACGTAGGTGACAATGTCGCTGCGGATCATAGAGCGACGAGGGTCGATTCAAGTTAATGAGAGTGAGTCGGTGCTGGCCGCCAGTTTGCCCAGAATGTCCACAGCCAGTGGAGTTTGCACGGCTATGTGTTTTGGAAGTGGGAGCAGAGGCAGAGAGACTTCGTGACGAGTGGGTATAGGATCGATGCAATACGACGGTGGGCTGGAGAACTGCGGGGACGTACCGGTAATCAAACATGCCAACAAACTGCTTCCTGGACTCGTCCCAGACCGGCGCGGAGATGATGCCGTTCTGGATCAGGACTTCACATGCACGCTCGACGGGGGTTTCACCATTGATGACGACGACTTTTTGGTTTGGAATCATGATGGCCTTGCAGGGAATGTTGTACCAGTGGCCGTGGTAGGCGAGGCCCTCATGCTACAAACGAAGGAAGCGGGTCAGAGAGGTGGGCGCTCAAACACGAATACAGGCTGATGAGGGACATGGTACCGGGGAGGCAACGGCGGGGAATCCCTGCAATTGACTGTGGTGGTATCACACAGAGACCGGGGGGATCGATATGCCACAACCAAACAATGCGATGCAAACGATCATGAAGATTGCCGTGGCGGAATGAGGGCCAGCCAGGGTGGGGGTGGCATGTGGACGCATGGCGAGTAGCGGCCTCTGTGGCGAGACTATAGCGAGTCCGAGCGAGAGACTGCAACAGGTTTTGAAGGCTGTTGCGTGATCTCCGAGGCCGTGAACAACGCCATTCCGGGGACATGAGTACATATCGTGGATCAACAGGGAGATATCGAAAGAAATGCAAATGACCAGGGACGCGCCATAGGCAGATACAGAAGGCGACAAAGGAGTTCAAGAAGGTGCCAGGCGATGTGGGGGGCTGGATGGTGGAGGTGGAAGGTGAATGAAGGGAAGGAAAACATGGGATGAACCGGATCGGAAGAGGGAAACCGCAGCCGAGTCAAAAGAGCTCAAGCAACGAAGCCAAGCGGGGTGGGAGTGAGGGAGCGGCAAGGCAAGGGAAGCACGGCAAGCGATGCGATACCTCACGATGGAAATCCCTGTCGACAAGATCGGCGTCGGACATGGCGGATGGGCGAGATAGACGGCGGAAGGACAGGCGGGTGGATTGATCAACAGATCGATGGATCGATGGACAGACGAAGGAAAGGCGATCGGATCGATGGAGAGAGACGGGGGGAGGGATGAGTCAAGCGCAGGGGAGGGATGAGCTGGAGGGGAGAATGCCTTCTCGCTCGGCCCCGCCGTGGCGCCTCCGATGGCGATCACCGTCCCATCCCATCACACCCCATCTCGCCATCGGCCTTGGTCGATCGTCGCCGCTCCCATCGGCCGTGCACGATCACAATCACCATCCTCCCGCTGCCATGTCGCACTCCTCGGCCTCGCATGACGACGACGAGCTCTTTGGCTCGCCCGCGCCGTCCTCCCCTCCCTCGTCCCCGTCGCGAACCGCTGACCCTGCTGATCAAGATCCGCTCTCGAGCCCAGCCTCTTCTCCCCTGCCCCCGCCGCCTCGACTCTCCAAGCTCGACTCGGACGCTCTCTCGGACCTCGACAGCGGCAGCGACGCCGATCTTCCGCGGCCCGGACGCATCCGACGGGACAATGGTCAAGCTGGCTCGAGCGATAACGACGGCGAGCACGATGGCGAGGGCAGTGACGAGCATCTGCTTGGCAGCCTGGACGAGTTATCCGAGTATCCGTCGTTCTGCATCTCGCAAAGATCAGCATTATTCTACTTCCACTATTTTCTGTGAACTCTTGCTCTCCTTCCTATCGGCGCTGTACCTGCTATCATAATCAGTACTGCTCAAACCCGGTCTTCGGCTCCCGCTTCTGTTGCACATCCCTCACGCTCGAATCGATCGAATGAATGTGCTGTTGGGCAGCAACCCACTCCGACTTGGTCCTGCTGGCCAAAATAAGGCATTGGCTTCGTATAGCCAGAGGGGCCCTTCGGTTAACACTCGCTCCTCGCTTACCTCTCGCCGCTCTTGAATCACTCAGGGACGAATCGTCAAAGAAGACTCGGAAGCGTCATGACGAGAACGCTGTCGCCATAGATGTGCCCAGCATCGGATCCGCTACCGGCTCCGGGTCCACGGCAAGTATCTCTTCCCGCCCATGCATCCAGTCAATCCCAGACAGCTCCACCAGCACACATAGATCACCGTGGCCAACGCGGCTCCAGAGCCCCGGAGCTCTGGCTTAAGCTAACAACTATTCCGCTCGACTTTGGCCCCAACCTTGTACTTGCGATCGGCGTTGGCTGATGTGCATGCGAATCCAACCCCAACCGTACCTATGATGGTGATGTTGCTCTTATTTTCTGTATCTACACCGCAACCGCGGTGGTCTCGGTTGATTGCCGCATTTCGATATCGTGCAATCCATCCGTGCTTCATTCCCTCAACTCCGATGGGGGCTTGGTTGTGGACGGGCTCGATTGATCTGCCTCACTTTGACGCCGACCCATAAACGAATCGATGCTGCCCGCCATCGTCGTGGGACATGGCTGGTGCAAATCGGACTGCCTCACGATCCAGATTTTCTTGGCCAAGCTGCCAAACTACATTGACGTTGCTCCGAAGCCCTTCACTCGAGAATCGTATATCGATTCCATTAAATCGCACACCGAAGAGAAGATCGATGACGAGATGCTCTACCGCCTCAGGATTGAGAATACCATTCGGTGGAGATATGAAGGCAAAACCGAGGACGGGACGGTACGAGAGCAAGCGAGTCGCCAGCCCCGCGATCACGGTCCATCATTAGTATCGCATGAACATTGGCAAATGGCCGTAAGAATTCTAGAAACACTTGCCTAATCATTTCGAGCTTTCTCTTCCACTCGTCCTTTATTCCCCATGGGCCCACAGCCGTTGATGGAATCCAATGCTCGACTCATTCGCTGGTCGGACGGCACTTTTTCGATGCTGCTTGGTGAAGAAATGTTTGATGTCGACATCAAGAATATCGAGAACGAGCATCAATACCTGGTTGCCAAGCTCGATGATCCTGACATTCTGCAGACCCAGGCGCGCTTCGGAAGCATGATGACCCTCAAGCCCACATCAATGGGTGCCTCAACTCATAGGAAGCTCACCATGGCCGTGGCCAACAAGCATAAGAAGGAGGGCCGCATCAAATTTTCCACAGCTGGAGTGGCACCGACTCTCCTCATTGAGCAGCAGGAGCAGGTGAGCTGTGTGTGGACCGCACCCGGAGCGTTCGAGCGCACGCAGCGACGACGCTATCCTGATCGCCTCTCATGCGCGTCTTCCGATGCGCAAGACCTCGACCTTCCGGAGGGCAGATCACACAGATTATTGGAGACAGCATGGTTGGCGATATATCGTCCGCCAGGGTCAACCCAGTCGACAGTGTCACTTTGAAACGGATCGAAAACAGAGTCTACCTTTGGTATATATAATTGCTTACCATCAACGCTTTCCTGCAGGCCGAGGCCCTCAGGATCAAGGAGCGAGCCAAGATTCGGAGGGAAAAGGAGCGGTCCTCGGATAAATTCAGGGGAGATGAAGGCTATGGTCGCGATAGTCTCAGGTCATCGGGCTCGTTCTTCCGGTCCAAAAGCGGCTATCACGATAGCTACGAAGACAGCTACGGACGATCGACAATGAACAACGAAGAATACGACGATGGCGATGGCTTTGGTGAGCAAGGCTGGTGATTCCCGCGTGTCACTGGAGCGACGACAAATCTGGGCGATGCTCAGGAACCTACTCTCGCGTTGGAGTCATTCCGATTCGTACTGGGCGATGGAGTAAAGCGCCCAATCGAGGTCCACTTACCGACACTTCTTGCCCCCGTGGTAATAATGGGTTTCGTGCGACCGGATTACATCTCATCGAATCTCGTCAAACTCGGTTGAACGTCGTCCGAATGACACGCACTCACCTGAATGATGCAGTTGTCCAGGACCACGACGACGAGGACGATCGCCGCGACGCTCGACTCCAACAGGCCAAATCCGGAAAGCCCGGCTCCTCGCGACGCCATACCTTTACGTCTTCTGAAGACGAGATGTCATTGGATGGCAGCGACGAGGATGGCGACGATGGTAACGAGAGCGAAGACCCCGACCGCGATCATAAACGAAGCAGCCGAAATAGTGACTTTGATCGCAAATCCAAGAGGCACAAGCGCGAGGGCGTGGACCGCGATCGTGATTCAAACCGCAGCCGTGGTCAAATCCGTGACGATGACGAGAATGGAAGCGACCAAAGCAGCCGATCGCCCAGGTCACCAGCTGCGCGGTACGACGACGACGATGAAGACGAAGTCGAAAAGATTGTGCGCAGAAGCTCGAACAATAAGCGGCAGGTTGTCGAGAGTGACGACGACTGAGCGACGACAACAGGCCCTCCTCGGCTGCCCCGGCGATTCCATGGAGTATTGGGATTATCTGCACCAACGAGTGCTGCAGACATGACTCAAGCGTTAAATCAGTCGCGATACATCGCCTACAGTGAGTCAGAACCCACGAGGCCAAACAGATCGAGCTTGTGGGTGAGCGCGAGGTGCTGACATCCAGAGGATGAAGAACAAAAGTTACAGCCTTGGAGAAAATCCTGAATAAATACTCGGTCTCCGACCTACTCGATAGCGCACTCAGGAACTTGGGGAAATGTATGATTTGCTGTATGTGATTTGTGACGATCATGTCGGTGGCAAGGAGCGTCCGAAAACAGTTGATGATTACTCTCCACCGATTGAGCAGCTTCATAAAGCCTATTCAGAATGGAACGAGATTGTGATGTCTCGGGTGGTGACGGGAGTGCTCAAAGTACTTGGCGACCCTGAGTCTGCGTGGACTCAATGCAAGCCATTGACTTGCTTCCGCTAGGGATTCCGAACGGCAGTCACAATGTCGGTCTCAATTGGACATAGTGTTTGGTCAGCGCTGGTGATGGATGAGCGAGTATTCAAAAAACAGTGTCAAGCCAACCTCAAACATGAGCGTCGATTTCGTTTCAGGTGCGAACTATGGGAATCAAAATCTTGATGAACCACAGGAACCGACTGAACAAGAGAAGCTCGAAAGAAAGACAGGTACTCTGGATGGTCCGGCAGACCAAGATCTTTGATCCCGGCGCAGTGAGGAATAACGGAAGCGGACCAACAAAACAGAGGAGCAAAAAGAGCGACCACACCAGGGGTCGAACCTGGAATCTCTTGATTCGTAGTCAAGCGCCTTATCCATTTGGCCATGCGGCCGAGAGGGTTGAGGCCTGCCGGATTTGAACCGACAACCTTCTGATCTGGAGTCAGACGCGCTACCGTTGCGCCAAGGCCCCACCTTGTCGCTGAATATCTGATATGGATATATAATCTATAGACCATCAACCCGTAACAACGACAATAATCTATCCGCCTTCGACCCCACAAAGAGAAACAAGGCAGTCCGTCGTGGCCAGTGACTCGGGGATGACATCCACAGTTCGCCCAATGTTCAAATAACGAGCTATCCCTTTGGTGGACATTGATTCTGGTGATCATGGGAGCGTCGCTCACCAACAACGATCTATGAAGTCAAACAGGAATCCGCATTTCGAAATCATGACCCAAACAATAACAAATCTGCAGTGACTTCTTTGATATTTGGCCACAAGCACATCAGAGAGGTATGTCGTCCCGGTGTATGTGGCCGAACATACGCCTTCATCAATCTTGAACAGCTCTGTATCAGGACACGAGGCTCATAGGCGTCATATTATGACTTCATTTCAAGCTAACAATCACAACCAAAGGTACCCCTTGGCTCTTTTCGACAACAGAGTGCGACCTCTGTTAGCTCTGATACGATGGAGAAAGATTATCATGGCTCACATATTCAGATCAATTTCGATGGCCTCATACTCCCATCCAGGCGGATTATGGACGATGTGCTGGAAGGAAGGGCGGTATGTTGATCGTTAGCGAGTCTGCTGCAACAGTCCAGCTCTGCTTCTTATACTTGGACTCTCTCCAAGTCAACAAACGCTGCGAGATTAATGGCACAGTATCATCGCAATACATGCGCAATTGGATTCGCTCTGGTTTCGAACCACACCTGCAGGCGATCCACTTCCATCGGGCACTCACTTCAGCGGCACCGTCGGATTGATTTTGAAGGATGCTTGATTTAGCGTCGATCATGGCCAGTCCACAATGATCTTCCCATCCATATTGCTGAAAAGGGTTGCATTCGTCGTGGGTATAATCAGAGAAACCAGAATTGGAGAATTCTGTGCCCAATTCGCGGAGGGGAGATTTCTCATGCAGCGGTAGTACTGCCGCTGACACCGAGAAACAGATGCAGCGATGTTAGCACATAATACGGACCCATCGAACACGACACCACTACGCTTCCAACCCACGCGGAAGCGAAAACCTGCAGCCTCGACAGACAAGTATAGCACGCCAAGGATTTGGTCGTGCCTTCAAAGGCGTCGAACATATCGGCAAATGGTGGTGGAATGGGTCCTACCACTGTTACTGTGAAGCGAATGCTTTGAGTTCGCCATTCTCTTGTTTTCTTGAGAGCCATCGCCCGTCCAGTCGGTAATATGATGGACTGACTCAGTCGTTTCGGCTGGTGAACCGCTGCTGATTCCGTCAACGCTTGGGCCTTCGAGCCTTCTTGGTCCCGATCTCACAAAAATATGAGAGTCTCGCGAGAGTTTCCTGTAAGCGTGCCTCAACTTTTGCAGAAGATCCACGTATGCATCGCCACTCTTGTCGATGCCAATGAGCGGCGCGGGGAGGAGCTCCATAATATTGGAAAGAGCAGTTGTATGTTTGATAAGGAGATTGGCAGCAAGCCGGCGCACATCCCTGAGGCCCCACGCAAGAGTTTGTCGAGATGATTAGTGCATTGGCATTACTCAGCCGCAAACTCGGACAACAAAATCAAAACCCAGATCATAGCTTATCGTGCGTTACCTTTCTCCATCGGTCAGAAAGGACACCAATATCTCCATGAATTGTGGTATGCAGTTGACTACAAACGCGTCTGAGTTGTGATCGCAGTCGCGCGAAATTGTATGCATCAGCTCAATCTTGGTCTCTGGAGATGCAATCTTGATCATCAGTTGAATGCACTTTGAGACTGACTTGACCAAAACTTTGAGCTCATTGAAACACTTTGCCTAGAAAGAGTGGCCATGGAATAGCCAAGTAAAATCGCGCAGTTGTAAGCTCGTGAGCCGAGCTCGACATCGACAATATGACTGGGATTTGGGACACACACTCATCGAATCTCCACGATCGATGCCAGGTGCATCAATTGGATGCATGGTTCAATTCATACCTGCTTGCTTCTCAGAAGCGATCCCAATGTTTTCCAAAGCTCAACTACCGCGCGACTAATTGATTGTTTTGCCTCGCGCCCGATGTCCGAAATGCAAATCGATATACTATGTGGAATGACATAGCTCTCGATTAAAACATTGACGGATACTTTCGGCGGAGATGGAGCGGCGGGAAATCTTTTGACTGGCGGTGAGGGATCGTATTGCAGACGGGAAGGCTTCGGATGAGAACGACGAGACATAATTTTGGATTGAAATTCGTTGGGAAAGCTTGAATCTGCTGTTTGTGATGATGGTAATGTGGTCGCTTTGGCCAACTGAGACGCCACGTGAGGACCAGACACAGGGCTTTCCTTCACCGAGGAATGAGTGTAGACAACTTCGAATGACTTCTTTTTTCCAGCTATTTCAACTTCAGGGGACTCCACCATCACCCGCATCAAATGGCCGGCAGCGGATATAAGGCAAGTCAGTGACAGTAAATAGAGACTGTCATCCTGCTCCTCGAGGCCAACAAGTAGCTGAAATAGCGCCGTAGCATGTCAGCATCATCAGCGAAGTAGTTTTGTCAGTAAGCCGACAGTTCACGTTTCTATTGAGAGGTATGCGTAATACACGACCACCGATTTACGTGAAGTGAGCTCGTACCTCGGGAACAAGAACACCTCGGATTGTTTCGCGATCGAGATTTTGGATGAGCAAGTCGATGTAATTATGGAATAATTTGAGGAGAGTAATGCGAACGTCGTAGGACCGCAACTTGAAGAGCTTCAAAATGTACGGAATTACGTATCGAATATAGAGGGCCTTGGGGATCACGGCAATGTCGTCGCAGCCTTCCTCAGGAACGGTGGTGTTGTACTTTTGCCCAAGGAGCAGTTGGTAGAAATGGAAGGCTTGGGGCTCGAGAAACATTTCAACAGAGAGAATGTAGGGTAGAGCATAGGCAGCGAGGGTCGAAGGGGGGAGAAGTGACAATCGCTGAGGCAGGGACCTGAATATGAATATAAATCAGTATTTTCTGAAGTCAATTGGTCGTCTGATTCTGCTCGATCGCGCCGGCTCCATTAACCACGTCACATATCGGCAACCATAGACGCTGACCACAGTGAAGCATTTCACCTACGCAAACATGGCCTCCTTCTGCTCTAATGGATACCCGCGTATCTGCTTCAGGAACTTTTCGATAACTTGAATGAGCACATTGTCCTCAAAGCAGCTACTGGACATCACGTCCTTGGGCTTGAGGCGTCTTCGGGGACGCTCCAAGACCATTCGATCCGCAAGCCCTTGTAAAACGGCCCAGTTTATGAAAACTGTATCACCCTTTTTTTCATTGGTCGATATCCGGGAGGCGGGAGTGTAAGGAGCAATGAGATAGCTGATGAGAAATCCAAGAGAGTAGGAGTCTCGAGCCTCGACCGGGTTGAGATCCTGTTTGTTTGGATATGGGTTGAATGGTAAAGTAGAGTCACTTTCAGTAATTCAGGCACGACCAAGATTAATCAAATGAAAATCCACCCAAACAACACGGCGACAGCTTTGGCGTTTTGGATTACCAGATCTTCGGATGAATCCTCGGGAGGAATTTGGTCCTTAGCGATAAACTCGTGAATCTTGTGGATAAGGGGGACGCTCATCTCGTGGATTGGTGTTGTGAGCTCCATCCCCCCAAGCATCCACTTACGCCCTGGTTGAAGTCGCTCATCAGAAATTCGTCGTGCATATAGTCCACGAAGAACATGCTCTGAGTGAAGTTAGCCCAAATGATTCATCATCCGAGCACCGAGACCGCTTACCAACATCGGAAACGTAAATGGAGGAGAGCTGGATGTTATTGTGGACCAGTCTCTGAGAGTGTAGAAAACTGACGGCTCTCTGTGAATATGAAGAGATTTCAAACCGATGAGCTATGTGAATGCACATGCGCTACATCTAAAATATTCATTTTCTGTGGGCAGATGCACGGTTAGGTGCATACCAGAATACTATATATTCCAAGGAATACCTCCTCTGGCGGGAGGACAGAGAGAAGCTGGGAGAGTGGAGTGACTGGCTCTGTGACAACAACGACATCTTGATCATGAAGCTCGGCATGATGAAACTTGATAATGCCAGGGTGTCGAATGGTTTTGAGACGCTGACAAAAACAGCCGGATGGTAAGTCGATATGACGGAATGCAAACAACAGGAGTGCTGAAATTTGTAAAACTTACTTTGACGGCGTTGTGGAGAAGACCTCTGTCTGTGAGCACATTCTTTGTCTTGTAGATAAAGACACTGACTCGTCGCCCGGATTCTTTGTGGACAGCTCGATGGAGATCAAAGCTGGAAGCCTCAGAAATCCCATGGCTACTCGTGATTTCTTTGATTTCGTACAGGCTGCTCAGCTTGCTTTCCCCGGAACCCATTTGGAACGAAATGCCTTTTGATAGCCTTGAGTGCGAAGAGGGAGGATTCTGCAATGGAGGTTGGTCGGTGTGAGAAACCAGGTGACAAAAGGCAGAAAATTATACGGAGTGCAGATTTTGAAAATGGAGAGGACGGGTGCATGAGGAGAGAGGCGACCATCAAGTGAGAGTATGCGATCGATCTTCGGGAAGGCTGAGCACAACATATTGCGAGTGGTGATTGGGGAGGAAACAGCACAATATGTCTTGAAATACAGGTATATGAATAGAATATGGAAGGCTGCAACATAGAGGGACAGATAGCAAGGAATGTGGAGGAGCTGAGAGACTCTGTCCTCAGCTCGCTCAAGAGTGTTGTGGCATCTGTCTCAACAAGAGTGCAGCTATATGATACCAACCAGAGACAGAGTCAGAGACAGAAGCCCAAAGAAGACGAAGAGGTGGATCAAGGCATGGGCGGCTCCGAAAAGCGAGCGAGGAGGAGGAGAGGGATTGGCTTGGGCCAACTCCAGAGAATGGGGGCAGGCTTTGATGGGAAGTGTGGCTCAAAGAGGAGCAGACTGATTGATAAAGGATCGCGAGCGACACAATCGAAGCGATTAACAGAGCCGAGTCGGGGGAAGCTTGGGGACATTGAAAGGGCGTCGGTGAGACTCGGAGCCAGCACAGGAACGGGAAGAGAAGGATCAAAGTTCGACAGAAAATTAATAATTTATATACGATAAAAAATTTCCATTAGTATCCTCGGGGCCTTGGCGCAACGGTAGCGCGTCTGACTCCAGATCAGAAGGTTGTCGGTTCAAATCCGGCAGGCCTCAACCCTCTCGGCCGCATGGCCAAATGGATAAGGCGCTTGACTACGAATCAAGAGATTCCAGGTTCGACCCCTGGTGTGGTCGCTCTTTTTCTTTTGCTTCTGAGGGATTTTTTTTTTCTTTCTTCATTGTGCGCCGCCGTGGCGATGCACTAGTCATCAGGACCCCGTTTCTCGGGTCTGGTCCATCGTCAATTTGTTCGCTTATCGGAAATTTTGACCTTTTGCTTTAGTGCTCAGTTCCTGGTTCAAGTGTTGAGTCTGGACGTTTGCTGGCTGATCAATATCGGGCGCTGCATACATTCGAATATTCAAGCGGCTGACAGAGGCCCGACGACGCCATGATTTGCGGGCAATCACTCACTCATTAGAACAATAGCATTGTGGATTCGACCCCTCGCCCCAACACACTTTCTTATCGGCAAATAACACACAAGCACGCACACTCACACACACATATATATATATACCCAAGGTTATTGAGTACTCTTGAATCTTTGTGTTGCTGGTACATTATCATCCGATAGTTGAACCGCACTGGGCGCTGAGTAGTGATTGCATCCAAGATTTTCGACAATCACCTTCGACAGATATGGATCTTGGTCAAAATTTGTCGTTGTTCAATGCACTATTCTATTAGCCTAGCTTTATCAATCTTGAATGGCCTTTTTGGGACTCGTATCAACCCAAGGCAGATATCGATGGCTTGTCCAATATAAGCAATATCATCCAGCAGGTAGCGTGCCCTCGGGGGTTCAGAAGCATTTTTGGTGTTGATGCTCTCTATATCGTTCCGTATATTGATATTGGCGTCTTGGGTGGCCGTCTCACCCACAAGTATTGAAAATCCTGTCAGGTCGAGTGAGAGGAGCCCAAATTATTACAGGAATATCGGGCAAACTCGGCCAACGAAGGTTACCGCTTTTTTTATCACTGAAAATTGACCACCTTTGCACCGAACGTTCTGAAATCAATATAATTTTGTTTAGGCCTCTTCGGTCTTCAAAGTAGAGTATAGACGCGAATTCAAATTTTAATAAAAAAATATTCCGCCTTCGAACAGCCTGGTGTCCATCATTCACCCAAGGGCAGTGGTTCCAATGGGTCCCTTTCGAACAGGCTGGCTCGCGATTTTGTCGGTCAATGAATCTCCAGGTTGGCTAGCTTTTTGCACCAACCACCATGGAAGACCGGCTGGAGCATCGCGTTGTTGGTATATTTGTTAGAACTCAGATAGGTACCTTACTCGGGAGCTGAGGTCGTTTCTTGCCCTGAATCATCGACTGCAGCACTTGAGGTAGATCCATTTTTGATGGACTGTAGTCGGAAGAGTAATAATGGAAGTGCTGGAAAATAGAATGAGAAAAAAGATTCATTTGAGCGACAGCACAATCAACATGCGATAGAGCCCCGCTTAGGCATAGAGTAGAACCAGCTCTGTGTACGAGGCTCACGTGAGGGACAGATCCACTCAGTTTGCTCGAGTGTACAAGTCAAGGCCAACTCTATGCTTGTATAGGACGATTGCCAGTATTGCTCTTCACCTTTAGGGATCAACTAAACGATCAATCCAACTAGCCATCTTGTCGATTTCTGCTCATCTTGACGCGATGTTGGAAATCGAAAGCACTAGAATAGTCTCTCCGGCTCAATTGTAGTTTGGGTAGTGGCCGAAGCGGATACTCAGAAAACATAATATCAGAACATCAGACTATCATATTATTATACCGTCAATGCAAATAGATAGGGTATATCCGTGCAACCAGGGATATCATAAAAGGCTATTCGGATTGGGAGGAATAATGGAAGCGGACCAACAGAACAGAGGAGCAAAAAGAGCGACCACACCAGGGGTCGAACCTGGAATCTCTTGATTCGTAGTCAAGCGCCTTATCCATTTGGCCATGCGGCCGAGAGGGTTGAGGCCTGCCGGATTTGAACCGACAACCTTCTGATCTGGAGTCAGACGCGCTACCGTTGCGCCAAGGCCCCGCCTTTTCACTCGATATTCAAAAAGTGTATATATACTTTACATAATACTGTTTTAATCGATACTTTATTATTCACCCTCTGCTCCATTGCTGCAGGGCGATTGAAAAGACTTATGGATTCTGCTATATTTTTTATTTTATAATATAAATTTTCTTAAGCTTTTGGTACGATGAAGTTCACCCCACTTTATCATATGATCAATGTGGATAATATTCAACACCGACAATAATTCGTACCACCAAATAATTAGATTGTCTGGAAAATATTTAGTGTAATCACTGCCCAACTGCAATGCTAAAATTATGAGCCACAAATATACCCAAGACCTCCAGAGATCTAATATGTGAACATGGCGAAGGATCAATTGCAACCAAAAGTCATCAGTCCAAAACAATCGCCCCAACTTTTGAGGGCATCATGGAGTATAAAGTGCCCTCTGTTCCTCCCCGATGTGTTAGTACTCCGAAACAATCTTCTAAAATAAATCTATCATCTCTTCCTTGAATGCTTTCACGTTTCAACCTTGAATTTCACGGTACTCCCCGCTGGTTCGGCCTCTCAGCTCTTCAGCAATACAGAGAGCCCCAACAACGCCTCGTCCACCATGTTAATTAGAATGTATAGCCTATCTTTCCAAAAAATATTTTTCGAATAAACTCTGTTCTATCAAATCATCCATGCCGTGTCGTCTTTGTCTTTGTCTTGAATAATCTAGCAGCTCTGTACACTCCACAGCAATAAAGACTATTCTAAAGGGATTAATACTGACGATCAAAGTCATTATATATACCTCAACAATGTCTATTCGATGTTGAGATAGTTGGATCTTTGGATAATTGGCGAAATGTACGATACAAATACACTTCAGAAAGCTTTTGTCTCTACTTATATGGTCCTATTCAACATTTAAACTCAGGTGATACTGAATACGTTGAAGAAAGAGTAAAGTTATTACAGATCGTTGATCAAAAAAATTTCTTGAGAGAGTACAGAGTACATCTATAATACCTTTATCTAAAATGTGCCATGTATTAACAGTTACAGATGTGTGATTTTAATATTGATTTACTGGTCGACAGAAGGCCGTAGTGATGATTAGGTCTGCTAAGCTGGGTAAATGAGACGTTCTCAAAGTAATCACTGCTTCTACTACCAAGCACGAAATTTTATATCGAGGAGGTTCCAACATGGTGCACAGTACACATCATCGTGCATCATTGATTTAATCATAAAAGTGCGTAGCACAGACAGCCATGTAAAATAAATAAACAAATAAAATATGCGTATAATTAAATACTTTGCTGTCTCGCGTCAATATGAAGTATATAGAGTACTGTGCGGTAGGACGATAAACAAATATTTGAATGGTGAGTTTAATGAAATTTTGATTCAGTATTGGCTTCGTTAATTCAAGACCTATATTGTTTATTAATGCTCATTAGCATAATTATATTTTATCCCACTTAATCTTTTAGTCTGAATGCATAATATATTGATACGTGCACTGCTGAGCAGTTTGTTGATTTCCCTCACACATTATGACCTAATATGATAGTTATTCAGTGGCTAGTTCAGCTCTAGATCTGGTTCAAAAAAGACATTAGCCAAAACAGTAGGATAATTTGTCTAGCGTAGTATAGTGATTCGGTCGTCAGGCCCGTGTCATAACGACTTGAATTTCGGAAGTTAGCCTATCTATTATTCAACACAATCTATATGTTACTTGTTCTCTTATCAACGGGTCACTTGGTTTCTTCTGATTTGTTCGGCTACATCCAGCGGTTGTTTGAGTTGGGCTGCTCTATCACAACGGATTTCCGTCCCTATCTGCCGCTTGGATTTCCATGGGCTTTTGCACAGTTCGGGCAGCGGACGATACTGGCCAGGATGGCCATCGCGAAGCGGAAGCGGCGGTAGGTGATGTGGTTCGTGGGGATGGTGCTAAAGTCCGAGTCGCTAATGGCCCTGTCCCTAACCCCCCCCCCGATAATGAACAAGGCCCATGCCCTCTCCTTCTCCACGAAACGTGGGTTGGGGAGGCTGGGAGAGTCGCCGTAGAGATCGTGGATAAGTTTGCCGAAATCAAATTTGGGTAGGTCATGCATATCGTGTTCGGGTTGAGCGGGGTCGATGCTAGGGCCAGTGTTGTCTTCAGGCGCCTTTCACTTCTTAACAGCAATACCGGCATACTGGC